TTTAGTAAAGATTATTCACAAAACTTTTAGCACTAGATTTTTCCTACACAAAGAACTTAAAAAAACTTTATTGATAAACAAACAGTTACATATACTATTACTACTATATTACTAACTAGATAATGATAACTCTAATAATTGACTGCTGCCTCTGACAGAGGGGTATATATACAGGGTTGTAGGAGGGGGAAAATGCTGAGTCAGGTATGTAGGAAAATGCACCATAACTGTCATTAACCACCGACAATGAACGCTAATTTTTACCGACATTGTCAAGATCTGAAAAAGATTACTATACTCGTAGATGGCCCTGCAGCTTGGAAATGAGTTCTCTAAGAACAAAAACTCAGAATAATATCTGATTCCGATCAAATAATAATATCAATAACCAATAACCAAATAATTAGTACCTTCCTTCATGAAAACGTTCCCAACAGCAGCTATTTCAAGAAAAAAGAACAACATTCTCTAATGAAAAATGTACAAATTATTATAGTGACCAGTTTTACGAATCGCATGAATTCTTCAAACTTCAGTAGCACATGCCTTCGCATCTCTCGACGCCCAAAAACTACATTACTCTTTTCTTTGAATAGCTGCTTTTTGGAACTTTTTCGAAATTTTTAATCCACCATCCAGGAGGAGGGTCGCTTCCTTGCAAAATTGACTAGTGCTCGTCACGATAATATATTTTTTAAATTTATTATATTAGAAAATTCGTTTATGAGGATGAATTTTAGTTATATTTCTCTTTTCATTAAACAGGTGCTTAAAATATTAGTTTTCGAAAGAAACGTCCTTCAGAGGATATTTGGCACAGTTAAGGAGAATGGAATATTAGACTCAACCAAGAACTAATACAAGGAACCGGATGTGGTGAAATATATCCGGATTAGGCTGAGATCGGAGGGACAAGTTGTACGGTTGGACGAGACCTCAAACTTAAAGAAACTGCTGAGCATGGAGCCGGTTGGAAAAAGAAAAGTGGGCAGACCGAAACTGAGATGGAAAATGGAGCAAATGCTGATGCCAGAATACATGGAATCAGAAACTAGTGGAGGCTGCTCAGGAAATGAAAACATGGAAGAAAACTCTTGAGGCAGCCAAGATCCAGTGACGGATTGTCGAGCTCGAGATGATGATATTGATCACATTAGAAAATTCATCTCAGAGGATGACTTTCCACATGTTTCCCTTTTCTTTAAATAGCTGTTTTTTGGATACATTTTTCGAAATTATTTTTCTACCACCCATAGAGGCGATGTCTCCTGGTAGAAATTACTAGTGCTGGTCACGATAATAACTTTTTTTATATTACATTAGAAAATTCGTCTATCAGGATGAATTTTCCATACGTTTCTCTTTTCTTTAAATAGGTGTTTTTGTCCCTATTTTCGATTTTTTTCTCCCCACCATCCATGGGAGGGCACGCCCCCTGGCAGAATTCGCCAGTGCTGGTCACGATAATATTATTATTTGTTTTATATTACATTAGGGTATTCATCGTCTATAAGGATAAATTTTCCCTATATTTCTCTTTTCTTTAAATATCTACTTTTTGAATTTTTTGTCTAGCTTCCAGGAAGGGGGGGGGAGGAGGAGCGCCCCCGGCTGGATCCAATGGGGCCTTGTCGAAAGTCAAATGCAAACCCTTCGTGTATTCAGTTGATTTCTTACCGACCTCAAATTTTTAGATCGACACATTGATGTCCTTCCCACTTCTTCAAGCTTATAAAGTGCCGCGAAACCTCTTAATTTCAATTCTTCAACATTTCAGGCTGTACTCTAGACATTATCAATCATCACTAATGTATTCTCTATTTCTGAGACCAGCACATCCCCAGTTATCTGAATATTGCTCACAGAATAACCATTATCTAAAATTAAACGGTTTAATCGACACAAACCTTTCTACATCGATATAATGAGATTTTTATGTTATAAACACTCATATTGTAAGGACATCACTCATCAACTTCATATTACTGATTGATAACTATATGAATGGTCGAACTTGGCATAGATTGTACTCGCTGAAACTAATACTATCCTCGTAAAAGTGGTTGTTGATTGCTTAAAATATTAGGGTTATCTTGTGATCCCCGCATATAAGCATTGATCCAACTTTTAATACTGGGTGGATTGGTGATCTCCCTTGGCTGTAGCCGATGGGTTTCAGAATTCCATCACGAGCCAATCAAACTCTACGTCGAAAGCGGCTTGCATTGGAAATGTCACTGACTTACCCTCCATAAATCTTGTTCTTGCAATGGATATTAAATATGACTTTACCTGTCTTTTGGTAAGCCTTCTTAATTGTCCAATAAAAAAAAAAAAAGTTGAGAAATCTGTATTGAATAAGACTGTTTGGACCATTTTAAGGATCATATAATTTTGAACCCAAGTAGCTCAAACCTCGTTTAGCCATGCAATGGGTTCAGTGGAATTGATCAAACAAAGTTTTGCTACCTTTTCAAAATTTATAAGGGCTCATCGCATTGGTTCCTCCTGAAATAGTATATTTCGTTTTCCCTGCATAAATACGAAATCCTAGTTTTCTTCCCGCTCTAACAAGTGTCATTAGCGCTTCAATAATTGTATTAAGCAAGTGGCTAGTTATGTCAATCAAACGGTACTATTATTATTAAGATGTGGCAGGCTAGAGTACCCTCCTGCCTTTATCCTTTGTTCGATCTAAATTTACCTAATATTCGCCCATTGATTTGTATCATACATCCCTCATGGTGAGCCTGATCAGCTTTAATAGCTTATATAGAATGTTGAGGTCTTTCAGGGCTTTGAAAAATGCTATCAAAAGCTGTCTCAAAGTCTGTGAAGAGACGTGAGTCTTCACGTTATATTATTTTACTCTTTCGAGAATTGTTTGGTGGAAGAATACTTGGTTTATTGAGGACTTTCATCTCCTTAGGCCATTTTAGTACTGGCTTAGCTTCGTTTCCGTGTACGCTATAACATGTTGAATTAGCTATAGTTATCTTTGAACTATTGTTTTTTGACATAATTTTCATTACGCAAGGAAGAAGAAAAATATATCTATCATTATTGCCTATGAGTTTGTCATTATTTTTAAATTAGGGTCCGACGACTGGTGTTTTTCAAGATGTTGGTGTTGCTTCTTCAGTCCATATCGTGAGAGTATATCCTGTAGTACTTTATTTAACTCCCTTCCATCATTTTGAAAAAGTACACCAGCCCATCATTTGCAGTGCTTTGTGATTTTTTAAAGGTACGATTACGTCATAAATTTCTCTTTATTAGGTGGCTCATGATTTGAATGTGTGGTTTGGTCATCCTGTGCTTCCTCTTCTGCGCCTTCTTTGATGATATTCGTTTAACGATCCTTAATACAGACATCGATTTCCATGAACTGTCGCCTACATCCAGTTAGGAGATATATAATTAGTTTGAAATACTAATTTTAAAAGTAAAGTTCCCAGTCCGCTGGTGTTCCTCAAGGTAGTATCCTAGGTCCTATCCTCTATACAGTTTATACAGCTGAAATCCCTACTTGTCCCAACACTGTCATCACCACATATGCCGATGACACATGTATTCTATCAGTAAACAATGACCCAGCAATTGCATCCCAAATGCTTCAATCACACATCATAAATCTAGAAGAATGGTGTCAAAACTGGAGAATTAAAATAAACTCCAATAAATCCCACCAGATTACCTTTACTCTTCGTCGTAAACCAACGACTTCCTGTCCTACAGTTTCTTTTAACAATACTCCACTTATCTCTGTTGAGCAAATCCGATACCTAGGACTCCACCTGGACAAACGACTAACTTGGAATCCTCATACTAGACTGAAACGACAAGAAACCCCTCGACGTTTCCGATTACTTCAGCACTTACTAGACAAACGCTCTAAACTTCCCATTAATCACAAAAGACTCATATACTTGACTGTAATAAGATCTATCTGGACTTACGGAGTTGAGCTATGGAGCTCCACTAAACCATCGAATTCCTCACGCATCCAATCCTTACAATCCAAAATCCTTCGTAAAATCCTGAATGCTCCTTGCTTTGTCACTAATAAAATTATCCACAAAGATCTTAATATTCCTTATGTTTCATATCTGGCCCAATCCAGATATCCTTCCATAATAAACTTCAGAATCATCCCAACCCTCTCGTTTCTAACCTTGCTTCCTCTTCAATTCCTGATAACCCTCCGAGGCGTCTGAAAAGAAGACGGCCCCGTGATCTAATGTAGTCATATCACAAATTAGAGTGCTACCATTGGGTAGTTACTCAGCAAGTGTATTCATGTCATTATATCTATTATGTCCAAATTTACTTGATGTATTTATGTAATACAGTTGTAAATGTCATTAAGAAATAAAAAAAAAGAAGTAAAGTTTACATATTAATTTAAATATTTTTATATTTCAAATTTGTTATAAGATTTCAGGGGCTCACATCGAGTTAAACTCATCGTTTACTTGGCTATAAAACATTTTACAGTTGGATACAACTTTTAGACAGAGACCCTGACCGCCCATTATGGATGCCTTTTGAATTGCTGGTAACCTAAGATTTCATTTAAATTTGCATATGGAAAATCCAGAGTAATATCAACGTTTGTAAACTGAGGTGCCTGACCTCGTGTTTTCATTAAATGGAGTTGAGTCATTTGGGTCCTAGTGTCACAGAGTCCCTAGTGGAAGTTTTTAAGAGAAAAAATACCACTTAAGGAATTGAAGAGGATTTGAACAGAAGACAGAATGGAGAGGAATTCTATTATTAAAAAGGTCCTTATTTCATAGGACTGTACAATCGAGGAATAATAATCTAATTAACACACACACACACACACACATATATATATATATATATATAAGATAAATAATTATATATATGTCTGTGTGTGTATCAATTTTTTAGCCACGCCCCTATAGTCTTACAAGTTGGTTGTTATTGTATTTGGGAAAGATAGGATTTGTATCTCTTTTCCTTAGTGTTCTAGACTATTTTGGAAGCTAAAGAACTTCAGGTTTCAAATAATTAAATCTTTAATTCTGAAAAATGTTTGTTTTAATGTTTTTATGACTTATAGGTCATAACATAATTCTAATTTATTAACTTAGATTTTTAATTTTTCTTACTGAAGTTGAGAAATGAATATTTTATTTATTAGCTTATCCTATTCTGTCAAAAATGGATGATATACCTGTAGCTGAAGTAAGTACTTGATTCGAAATTTGAGGTTTCATCAAGTTTTAATTTTGCATTATTGTCAGAAAAATCAATGATTTATGTTTTTTAATTACTTGACAAAGTGTTAACAACCATTGGCTATTATCGTTTATTTATTTATGATTATTACTTTATTAAATGAGTTATTCTTAAATTTCTTCTAATTCAATTTCTAGATCTTGAGTGTATCAAAATTTATATTTTTATGTTGTAAATTTCAGTTTGACATCCAAGCCTGCTCATCAAATTTAATTATTTTTCCTTTAACAAAACAGGAGTGATGAAAGAGGCCATTAGAGATTATAAAATAAATTAAGAAGTCAAATCTATTGACATTTCAGAGCCTTATTAAATGTTGGGTGGTTTTACTCTAATATAATTTGTGCTCCTCTGAACATTTATATAATCAATACATTGACATTTTAACCAAATTATTTGATTTCCTTAATATCATTATAACTTTGAATGATCTTCAGTCAATTACTTCAGATTTGATAAGTGTTTTAAATAAATTCATGAAATATTAAACTATTTCCACTACATACTAATTTATTCTGTCTCCAGGAGTATGTCTGTTTATTAATTAGTTTATATAGTTATTAGGAGGAAATAGCAATATAACTAACTTATAAAATTAAAATTAGTTTATTTCTTCAGTGTTGTTAGCTTTAAATGATTTCCTTCATATTTTTTTTTTGTTATATTGCAATGGTTAAAATATATGTACTTTGTAATTTACTCGTCGCAAAATCTGACAGTATTGCGAATGTTAGTACCTTTAAATTTCTATATTACATAAAATTACATTGAACTTTAGAGCTGTAAAGAGATAGGTATAGGTAGGGAATAGGGTCCTATGGTTATCAAATTATTCTAGTTGAAGAGAGAGTGAGATGAGAAGTCAAGTTCAACTTTTATTTATTCTGTCCAACTGCTATTTTCCCATTATTTTCTGTACAAGTAGCTCTATAACAGTCAGTGAGGAGAGGTTGTTGCTGCGATTCTGTTCAATATTAGATAAGTAGAATCTAACTAGAACAGATTATTATAATCATCCTTTGTATAATGACATGTAAAATTAAATGAAAGTTCAGTTGCAACAGATTTTTTTTTTTATAAAGAAATAAAAATTAAAATGGAATCTTATTGTAGTAATTCTTCCATCTTTACCTTACCCTCCGAAAAAGAAATATGATTTTTATTTTTAGAATTTTACTCTACCCCTTTTCAAGGATTTTTTTGTAAATTGAAAAAAACATTAACATATAAACCTAAAAAATAATATTTTCAAATTTGAGAAATGAATACCTGAAGTATGGTAGAAGAAGGCTAAAAGTGAATGAGTTGATAAATTGATCAAGATACTGCAGAGCTGCATGCAGAAAACTAAAGCAATAGTTAGGCAGAGATGGAGAAGCTTGGTTCTACAAAATCTACAAGGTGTATAAAGACCTTTTACGGCTGATTAAAATCTACTAGGTACTTACATTTCAACAATAAAAAAATCATCTAAATAAAAATATTGTTTTTATGTATGTTACAATTGAAGGATTGATAACAAAAAGTCAACAATCTTTAATTCTAGAAATAAAACAATTTTCTTGCTTCAGTGTTCCATGACCAAATCACTTCATTTTCCATGTACCAACTACTTGAAATCTAAATTTCGTAATGTGAGTGGACCAATAAAACTTGATGAAGAATCAGTCAAGGAAATCAAAGTTTAATTATGGTCATGATCCAATTAAAATATGTTTACAAAAGTTTTCTTAACTTTAACAGCCCTCACTGCTGTCCTTGTAGCCAGCAGATTAGTGTTATTTTCATTTAAAGGTCTACAGGGTTTATAGAAATGACAAGGTTCTTATAATATATTCAATATTGTAGGTTTTCTAATGTTTGGTATCTTGTTTCATGAATGTGATATTTTACTTTTGGTGGTATATTTTAAATAGGAAAATGGTGGTAATTAGCAGTTAAAACCTGGTTATTAAGTTCTTCATGATGGATTAGCTTTCTGACAAAAGACTTTTTATTAATTTATGTTGGATACTATGGTCCTGCAAGAACTGGACCTCCATTACGTTTTCTTGCAGAAGTTTCTCTGAGATCACATTGTCCTTCATTCTAGTAACATGCCTAGTGAATTCTTCTGATCTTTGTATCCGATGATATTTATATTTCTAAACAATCATCCTATTTCAGCATTTCTTAGTTGTCAAGCATTGTTGCTGAAAACTGACCCAAAAGTTCTTTTAAGGGGGTGCCTCTCTAATTTTAGAAGCATTAGTTCTTGAGGTTGAGAAATCATCCAGCATTCAGACATTGAGGTCATAACAGGTCTTATGAGGGTTTCCTTTTATTTTATTGCATATTATCACCTGAAAGCTTTAATAAATAAATCCGTTCATACACCTAACTGTGAAGTCTCTGATTTTTACATGAATGTCCTGCTGATCAAATTTTTGTGCACCAGCTCTCATTAGTATTATTATGGTTTTTTTTTTTCATCATTCATAGCCAGACTTACTCTTTGTACTGCTTCTTGTTGGGTGATAAATACCTCCTTCACTATGCCACATATCCATGATGCAATCATACAGAAACCTTTCTTCTTTCTCCCTTCTATATTTCAAAAGTTTTCCAAAAATACTGTTTGCTCCTGTTGGCTAAATAGTTTTTAGGTGATTTATTACTTTTTGAACCTCCTCAAACTCAGGTGTCTCAAAGTCTCCCTCCAGAGTATCTTGCACATGCTCAAACATGGTTCCCATTCATAAAACTACACCCTTCATCACACCAGTGCTTTCTTCTTATGATTAAGGAGAATACCAAATAAATAAATAATAGTAATGTACATCTATATCTCCATTATATTTTGATGTAACAATAGAGGCAGTAGAGGACTTCTGTGGGAGTCTTGGGCTGACGAAAGAAAAAAAAAAAAATAAGAGTACCATAAAGATCTCTGCAAGCTGCTATTCTGATGTATTTTCAGCTGGTATTAATCTTCTATAAAAATTTCCAGTTTCATTAAGGTTTTTAAGGTTCTCACTCTCTTCTAATTGATTTTGTTTCCATATCCTTTTCTTATTCTGATGAAATGTTATTCCACTGTACACTTTAGACAATAATTTCAACAGGATTTTTTGTTTTTCATTTTTGTATCTGTCTGAATTCTCAAACCAAGGAGTTTTTCTTGAACATTCCCATAAGAGTGAGACCTCGGTTGATACTTCCAAGATAGCTAATTTGTATGTCTTCCATCTCCGGCTAAGGTCATTATCTGGTTCAAGGCCTTTAAGTTTTCAATCAACCTATGTCGTAAAAAAGAGTTTTCTTATGGGTCTCTGAGCTCTTGCACATTAATCTTTTTTAGTCCTCTTATTTATCATATTATGTTCTATCAGTATTTTAGTATGTATATATGCAATCATGAGGTAATGATCAGAGTCCATATTATTATGTAGGAACATTCTTAAATCCATTAAACTTGTTGTGAACCTAGCAGTTATAAGAATGCTTTCTATCTGGTTAGTGGTTACACTGCCATTGGATTGCCAAGCAGTGAGGTCAATGTCGTTTAACTAATCCTCTGGATGCCAGCAAGTTAATGAGTCTCTGACTGGTATTTTTTTCGTCTGACCGTTTCTTGGTATATGCTTTGTACAATTGCATGACAAAATCCACACTCAGTTCCCATTTGTGCATTACAGTATCCAATTACTGATCACCTTTGGTAAGCAACAACACCAATAACTTAAACTAGCTACTCCTATCTGAACTAGAAATATTACTACGTGGACCTTGCTGCAATCTAAAAAGTGCTATGGAGGGGTATGATTTATTGAGAAGCTATATAAGGCTTCCTGCCTTATGTTACAGCTTTCAGGAACATCACACATGTTGAACAGGATTTGTGGTCAGGAGAATAGTAGAGGCATCATAGGCTTCACACCAGTTAACCTGTGTCCTGAAAATGAGAATAAAATACTATAATTATAGCATCTTTAGCTGTCGTGTTCCGACAGAGATTTCATCTGAAGAGGACAAAGAAACTTTCTACAACCTTAAGGATTGGGTTGTAGATAGCTGCCCTATAAATGATATTAAAATATTCCTTGGAGATTTAAATGCAAAAATAGGGAAGAAATCTATTTAGAGACTGTTAATGGGAAAAATATAGGCTGCATGGAAACACAAGCAAAAACCATCGTTTCTTAATTAACTTTGTATCATCAAGGTATCATGTCATTTCCTGGAAAAACATTCATAATGGAACATAGGAGTCAACTGGCAGTACAGTGGCAAGACAGATAGACCATGTCAGTGCTCGCCACAAATCAAACTTTGTTAGGTACAAAACATATGGGGAGGGCAGGATAATGCTTGTGTACAGAATCATATTGCCTGGCAACCTAATTGAAGATAATTAGATAAAATAATTATGACTTTGCTTTCTGGTGTCAGGAACTTTTAACACTGGCATTAATCCCCACCCTCACCCACCAGCCCAGGAAATCTCCGCATAGCCTAAAAGGAGAGGGCCAAAAACAAAGTAGAAAACAAATAGAGGTTGCTACCTAGGGAAGGTAATCTTAGTACTTTATTTGACTTATATCTGTAAATGTGAAGAGATTGTAGTGTTTGTGCTGTATATAGTGTACTGCTTGAGTGTTAGTGTAGTTGTTCTACCAACCTAGTGGGCCAAAGGCTAATTGTAGTTTATAGATCATATCTACTTCTCCTTATTCCAGCACATGATGGCCAAAAGAGCGAATTTATCTCTGTAAAATTCAAATTTGGAATATTTAATATTTTAATGGAACAATCCAATTATTTGTATCAAAACTAGACTGTACAGTGATATTGAAGGGGAGATATTAGCCTCAATTGTCTATATTATGAATGCAACAAGACATAAATAGCAAAATAATTAATCCTTCTATTTCTGATTTATCGTTTTATCAATCCTTCTATTTCGGATTTCTCTTTTTACATTTTTTTTTTTTATCTGAGATTACAAACTTTCATATAAAATGTAAAGTATTAAGTATGTAACTATTAAAACAAAGTTTTTATTGAAGTAAATTTTAGCCATTAGTCGATTTTAAAGATGTATAAAATTTGTATACAATTGTATGGTTTGTGGTTCTTATATTTCTATTGTACATGTTATTGCCTGATTTTTAATAAAGAAATCAGCTGCCAATACAAGCAGATTGTTGTTTTTATAACTGGCATTTCCAGTCAATGTTATATGCTAAATTGCAATTTTAAATTGCATTTTTATGATTTGAATTTTTTTTTTATCCCAGATTCAAGATTTGGCTCACTATGCAGGATTCCTTGAAATATTCTTTTCACATCTTTATTATGTTCTCATTCCACCTGATGATATTTCCATTTCTTCCTATGAATCCTTTTAATTGTTTCTGATGTCTCCTTATGCTGTCCTTTGATAACTTTTTAGAAGGCCTTGTGATGATCTTTCTTATTTTTTTTTAGTTTGTGACCTAAATCTTACTAAAATTTCGTCTTTGCTCTGAACACTTTATCTCTGGTCTTGTTTCTCCTATCTTGGTACTTTTAGTGGGCACTGGATGTCCTCTAGCTCAGGAAGATGTACACCTGTTGTCAAAATCATTGCTATCCATGGTGTCTGCCAGATATGAAAATCCTGCAATACATAGAACAATCAGAAATTTCCGGAACCCGGAAAAATAAGGGAAATTTTTGGAAACTAGAAAAGTCAGGTAAATTTTTTGGAATCTGGAAAAGTCGGAATAGTCTTGGAATTTTATGAAAAAACTCTGGAAGTCAAGGAATTTTACAAGCTAGTGTAAATATTTCAGATGCAATCACTGTTTTTCACAAATAGTGTACATAATAATGATAAATACTCAAATGCACATAAAACACGCCCAAGGCATAAGGTGTGTTTATCGATTTTTTGTGTTAAAATGTTATTTTATTTTTGTAATTTCTTTTTTTTTTTTTTTACTACATTCTTAATACTGTTTATTTAGAAACTGTGTTGGTACCAATAGAGACAATTTATTGTTTTTTAAAAATATTTTCATGTCAAATAAGTGTAAAAGTTGTAAGTATTCATTACATATGATTCTATTGTTTTTAGTGTTTAAATAGCTGCTATGATATTTTTGTTTGTATGCCGAAGAGTACCTGTTTAATTTTTGTTAGACTTTTTAGAAACTTATAAATTATTAACATTTTAAACTATTTTTATAAAGTCTCCATTATTTAAAATGTTAAATATTGTTCTAATTATATTAAGTAGTTCCGTCAGTTTATAAAAATTTAGTTATAAATTAAACACTTTTTTCTTTACTTTAGAACAAAATAGAGCAAATTATATTACTTTCTAGTAAATTGTCAACTTTAACTTGACCATGTTTATTGTCTGCCCGATGTTTATTGATCCAACCCATATGGCACTTAGTTGGAACTTGCAATTCGTTTTTCTGGATCCTCTGATACTACTTGCTTTAATGCTTTAATATTTACAAATAAATGCATATGAATTGTGTATATATGAGTTGAAAGATGGTATCGCCTTTTTCTTTGTTGAAAGATGATATTGTGATCTTCTATTGTATTTATAATTATACATTTGTAAATATTTGACTAGTAATATTTAGGATCAGGGGAAAAACTGTTTCATTTATAGTTTCAACTTAGCACCATATGAGGGCTAGCAACAAACCTTGGCCAATATAAAGTATTGCTTATAAAGTAATTTGTCTTTGTTGTTTATTGGCTTGTTGTAGATAGATAATAGAAGCAGGAAGAATAATTCAATTATTCATATATACACATATGTGTCCATTTCGATCACAACGGTTTCGATGACCTGAGATATTTTTTAACATGACCTGGAAAAGTCAGGGAATTCCATAAAAAGATTTCAGTTGATACCCTGGTTATCGTATGGACATCCAGGATCTCATGACATTGTATTCACCTATTCTCTGTAGTATTAAGCCATATCTTCTCCCTTGGAATGTAATGGTTTTATTCCTACCATCTGCAGTTATCCTTTGCTTTATTCTTTCATTCTATACTTTCTCTAGCATTAAAAAATTTCTTGAGCTCAGAAAAAAATTATTCGACTTGAATGTCATGATATATATGTAGTACTTTTCCTTTTGACAGTAGCCTGGTTGAATAGCATTTTCTGAATTCAAGTTTTCCACTCATAAATTACTTCCTTCTGCTTTATATAGAGGGTAATAATTCAGGCCATATTGAATTATGGTCTGTTAGGAAGTTTTTATCTATTTTTTTAAACTTACTATTCAAAGTATTTTTCTTATAACAGATCTTTTATTGTATATCGATTGTTAAATTATCTAATAAGTTACATAATTTCCATTTGAAATCATTTAAGTAATTTCTTTTTTAACAATTTAAAAATATAAAACCTTTTATATGATTAAATTATTTTATTGTAGTCTGGTAAAACTGGTAACCAGTCTCCTAGGCAGCCAGTGAAATCTAATGCTGTTGTCAAGTATTCTGCTGTGAATGCGCCTGCAACATTTGCTAGATTGCAGTATAATACAGATCTCAAACCACCTCCCTCAAATTGGCTGAGCAGTAGTGGAGAATTGTATGGGCTCAATCATGGCTTTTCACATTCTTCAGCATTCTCCAGGTAACATTGTTTTAAAATCTTATTTTGATTTAAATATGGGATCAGCAGTGCTCAGTTTTAAAAATGAGGCAGCATGTTCTGCTTTTCTTAATCATGAAAGATACAAGAAAGGGTTGAAGTAAAAAAAAATTATTTATCTCTCAATTAAATAGTAATAGTCATATTACTTGATTGCTTTTTAGTACAGTGGCTTAGATTGAATTTAAGGCATAATATTACAAAGACTTTCCACATATAATTAATTTGTCAACAAAGGCAAGAAGACCAAAGTGCATTGGTCTAAAGTTTCTCTATACAATTGTTTGTTTCATATATTTATTGGTCCTTATTGGTTTGTTAAATTTTATGTACTTTCTGGAAATGAGTCATATTATCTGTTTTATAAACTAAAAGATATACTTTAGTTAAACGGCTAACAATAACAAAAAAATCTTAAAATAAAACATCAGGAGAAATCATTCCCCTTTATAAACCACTCATTACTGTTTAACAAATTTGAAATGTTCCTTAAAAAAAACAATTAAACAAGTAAAAAATGGTACTGACATAACCCCCTTCATAATATTTCACATTATGTAGTCATAAATGATATAGTTATAGTGCTTTACAAAATGTTTTGTTATATTATTTTGATTGTGCAATAATTTACTTGCCATAAATAATTATATAACAATTATCTCACTCAGGCTCTTATACTATAGTCTTTAAATGATTTGGGTTTCCTCTAATAATCTTATGGCAAGAATTTTGGAAACAATTTGGTTTTGATGATTCCATTCTGGTATATTCATTTACATTACCTCTACTACTTCTTTAGGACATGACAGGATTGTCTTCCTTATCAACTTTCACCACTTACTTTCCTTCTCTTAATAGAACATTTTCCTCCCTCATATGTTTATTTGGTTGTATTATTATGAACAATAAATTTAATTTATTTATTTTTGTTAATAGTTTTAGGATGGCCAATATGTTTCCCGATTGTGTGGGTGAAGTTGATGTCGTTTCAGATGCTGAGAACATAAAAAAATTACTGAAAATTCCTTACAGCACCATGCCTGTGAGTCCATTGAAATATATAGTTTTTTGCTGTTATTGTTTTATTTTCTCATGTTTCTGATTTAATCATTTTTTTTATTTATAACCATTTCACCTGTTTAGGTAAGCATGATGGTTCATCGAATTGAAAACACCTTACTTATAGATGAATTTGATATCCACAAGCATTTACTGAGTAAAGCGGAATCAGAATGGGGATGGCTTAAAAAGTTTTTTTGTGATCAGATTCTTCAAACATTAAAGGTATATATTTTCAAGAGAATATTGATTACTAAAGAAAAGTAATGACATATATTTAGTAAATTGTCAATATGATCCGGTTATTTTCATTTATGTGTGTCAAGGTCAGTTATCAAATTATGCCGAATCGCCTAAACATTAAAACTGTTTATTAAACAGAACAGGTTGCCATTTTAGTATTTGACTGATGTAAGTTTTTGTTGTCACTTGCAGTCTTGTCACTTTTTGTTGAGAATGCACACTTTATTACTTCGTTTAAATAGAATATGATCTTTGAATGGAAGGTATTTTTAATAATTATATCTTTATTTATATACAATACAAATTATCAAACCCAATTTTTTTTTTTTACTGTTGAGTGTGATCTTGGCCCCATCACCTCTTTGCACAGCCTTTGGCCTTGTTACAGTACGTCCTCATATAGTACTGAACCCAAGACCCATGGTTTGTAGTGGTAAAGTTTTTTTTTTAAATTTAATATCTATAGACCGTGTTGCAGACCCCTTTTTATCAAATTATTAACATCCACATGAAACTTTGTAAATAGCTTCATCTCATAGTAACCTACTAGCACAAAATTGAGGAAAAAAGTGGTCTTCAAAAATATTGAGCAATTTTTCTCCATCTTGTGTACTACCATTTTTCTCGATTTTGTGATCAAAATATCTTATGATCCAAGTGGCAAGCAAATGGGTATTTACAAGTTTTTGGTAACTAATTAAGTAGACAAAGTTTGGCAAATGTATAATAGAGCTATGGCTATAATCAAATTCACAGATATTGTAAGTAACAATATCAAATAGCTTTAATTATTGATAAATAAATTTGTCAATATCTATGAAATTTACCATTGATATATAGGATTTCCCCTCAAAAAAGATGACCTATTGATTTTTCAGCTGTACAGCTAAAAACTAAATATATACTAACAATACTTCAGTTAATACTGGACAAAAAAAGATCCTATGAACATGGGTCAGCAAATGAAGTCTGGAACAATTTTCAATATGTTTTTCAACACTTTTTTGGCAATTGATGAAGGAACAACTTGCATCAAAAATGGATTGAAATTAATGGCATTGAGAATTAAATTTGGCATCAAATCTGAAGTCATAAGTGGAAAAGAGGAAATAGTTTGTAAAGGTCCAGTATTTGTGGATCAAACTCTGAAGAGAATTACAGCACAGTGTATTGTGGATTATGGAATCAATAAACTAAAGAACAACAAAGCCCCTGGATTTTATGGCTTCCATTCAGTGTTATTCAAACAAGGTGACACTGGACTGAGATCTTATATTTAAAGTATGGCTGATGGAGTTGATATCATCTGATTGGAGCAAATCTTTAATATGTCTACTATATAAAAAGGGTGGCCTATGCAGATGACAACTTCATTGGACATTCAACGAGGGAAGTCACAAAAGGATTTCTTGCATTGATTGGATCAGCAAATAGACTTGACCTAGAAGTCAATGAAGCGAAGACCAAGTACCTAGTGAAAAAGGATATTATAAAACTTCGAGGCATTCTGAACATGAAGATGATATCCACCCAGGACAGGAACAAATGGCAGAAACAGCTGGAGAAAGCCAAGACTTGAAACCGAAAAGAAGAATCATGGTGATGATAGTTTTAGCCTTCTTGAATTGTCCATCACTTCTTTAATTGTATATTTACTGTACCATTCCTACAAGGCATGGGGGTTTCCAAGCAAAGCTCGTTTAATATGGTAAGAACATTGATCCCCTATGCCCAAGCTGCAGAGTGCCAGGGGCCCTTTGAGGCACTGAGGGCTAAGTTGTTGAGGGAGACGGACCTTTACGTTCTGACGGAGAGCGATCTTCCTCAACTAATGACAAAGGAAAAATATCCGTACTACAAGGCCTTTGTATATGGATGGAAGGAACTTGTTGGTTCAATCTACTTTTCATTGGGAAGAAGAGATGAAGCTGCATCCGGAAGACCGCCAGAGAGGGTGGAGGAGGACACTGGCTGAAAAGAAGAGCTGAATAAAAAAATGTAATTGGTCTGAATGCAGCAGTGAGTTGTAACACGTGTGTTGTTACTCACTGTTGTATAACACCCGTATTGCCTTACCGGCAGCGTAGGGTTTAAATAAAATAAAAATGTACCAGTCCTAATCTTATATCTGGTATGCAATATGTAATGATTCGATAAATTTATGCGAAATTTTGATTTTCATTGTTAAAAATATTTGTATATATTTATTTTTTATTTTTTAGAACAAATGTCTTCTATTCAAGAATAATACTCGTAATGCTCTTCAGGAACAATCTCTGGTATCTAAGTTCCTTCATTACAGCTTAGCTGAACCTCAAGATAATGTAGTAGCCCAAAGTTTTACAGACAACTTTCCACTTACAATGGTAAACATGGGAGTTATTGTAATAAATTATTTGAGATTTTAATGCTAAAAAATGAAAAATAAAATCAATTTTTAATGTAGAGAGGGCCTGCTTTGCCAGAACCTCGATTGGAAGAAGGTCTACCAGATCCAGAGGCCCCTTTTGATCGCAAATTTACCAGAAATGTAGTGTGGACATTTGAGGATATCCAGATGCTTTTAGGTACTGATATGCCTATTTTTGGAGGTTCAACAAGGCCCTGTATCTCCTTGAGGCTTAGGTAAAAGGCTAATACTATGTAAATAAGTCTAATTTTCTATTTTATGCTTGTTTTATATACATTCATATTTTGAGAGTCTGCTGTAGAGAGTACTTATTGTTGACTCTTGAGACTCATTTTTTAATAAAGTGATAAATTGTTTTGATTTATCCATAGCCCAAGTTAAAAGAAGTTTGAGCAATAGAGATTAACGTTTGGACATTTTGAGTTATGGGATAAGATTTTTATTTGAGATAATAAAGGGACTGAAATAAAGGATTTTTTATATCCTATGGTCCAATTTCTTCCAAAGCCTTTTTAACATTGTTTATTAAGTCATCCCGATATAATCAAGAATGTGTTATGATTTTCAATACCAGTAGCGCCCATAAATTTTTAATTGGATTAAGATCCGGTGATTGTGGGAGTGTTATAAGCATTTTGTGAACATTATATAGCCAGCATTCTTTGCTTTTATGACCGTGTGCTTGAGATTGTTGTCTTAAAACATATATGTGGTGGGCGGGGTGACCGAATGGGCTAACTCGTTGTGCACAGCACCACCGTTGCCCGGCAACCTGATATATGATAAATGATACAAAAATAGTCATGAGTTCGCGTCCCGGTGCCAAGGCGTCTTTTAAATCCCCGCCCACACCCTCTGACCCGGGAAAACCCCGTATAGCCTTAACGGCGAGGAAGGGGAGGACACAAAAAAAAACAACAATAAAACATGTATCCCTTTTTCCTAATTTTTCGCACTTTTATTTGAATTGCATCGCAACACGTTCACATATTTGTCAGCATTCATAATCCCGCCAATAAAGGCTAGTTCACCATCTCCTTTGGCACTCACACAGCCCCAAACAATGATACTGCCCCCCCTGTGCTTCATTGTTGGTTGTAGACTTTAGAATTCAAATGCCTCTCATATTTTCTGTTTTTTCGTTTATAAAAGATTTTTTCTTACCACTCTACCTCTATAGGCTACTTCACGTAGCTGATTCATCATGTTTTGGGGTGTTACAGATTTTCCATAAGCTGACGTCTTATGAGCCAAAATCTCTCATGCCAAAATCTCGTGCACTTAATTTGGGATTTTTTGCCACTATACACACAATTTCATAAGATTATCACAATGTCAGCAAACGTTTTCTTCTTATGTGGATTTATTATCCACTGATCCAGATGTAAATTTTTTTATAATGTATTTCTCTGTCGTATTAGCTAGTCCGAACTTTTTTCTGAAAACTGAAATCCTATTGAAAATGTTTGACGTCATCTTTAGGATGATAACTCAATTCTCTGGACCTGCTACCCATTGCTGAAGAAATATTCTTTGGTACTGAACTGAACAGGCAATTTCTAGTGTATTTTTGTCATTTAATCCTTAGGAGTAAAGGACTATAAATATAAAATCAAAACACTGTTCTATTTATAAAAATTATTGTATCATTTATACTTGCTCTAGTGCACGAATATTTTTTTGTGAACAAATTTTTGAAATATTAATGTTATAAAAGTTGTAAGAGATTTTAAAGTTTGGTATTACATAAAATTAATCCAAAATAAAGTTTGTAATTGATATCTGCTACTATTTCAAGTTACAAAAATTATAGTGCAGGCCAAAAAATGGGGTTTAGATATATTTTTTTGTTTTTTTTGCCCACTGTATAATTTAATATGAGGTTGTTTTTTAAACTATTAATAACTATTATAGGGATGCGACAAAGCCTATTAGTGTACTTACTGGCATTGACTATTGGCTGGATAATCTGATGTCAAATGTTCCAGAAGTAGTGATGTGTTATCATTTGGATGGAATTGTTCAGAAATATGAATTAATCAAAACAGAAGACCTTCCACAGTTAGCCGAGTCGAAATTCTCTCCGAAGGTGATACGTGATGTTGCACAAAACATTCTGTCTTTCCTTAAAGCTAATGCAACCAAAGCTGGTCATACGTATTGGCTGTTTAAAGGTGAGTTTTACTTCTTTAATTTTTGGCTTATAAGTCATTTATTGTAAGAGTTTCAGCATTCTTTAAGTTTTGTTCCTAGTTAATGAAATTAATGTGTTAAATATTTACCCCAGGTAAAAACGAAGATGCTGTAAAGCTTTATGACTTGACATCACTCTGTTCGGACTCTTTGGAAGAAAAAGATCAAAATCCTTTTACTGTTCCTGTTGGAATGCTCCTCTATAGAGTTGCTCGGAACATGCTCGCTTCAAGGGAAAACTCAATATTTCAAATAGCCACAATAAGAATGCTACTTAAAAACTGTCTCTCGCTTTTATCGAAAGAAAAATATCCTGAGGTATTGAAATCATTGCTTGGTTTTCTCTTTTGATGGTAATGTCATTTTACAAAAAAAATACTAAATTATCAATTGATTTGTTGCGAATAATCTGTAAGTTTTATTGCAGATCGTTTTGTCAGCTCATTACATGCTTTCTGATGTTTATATTCCTTGTGAAACTGACCCATCCTGTCCTCATTTGGAAGATATTCCGTCCCCTCCAGAGCAGCCTGAAGAAGAAGGAGAAAGCTGCCCTAGTAATTCAGTTGCAGTTACATCTCTCTGCGTTTCAATGTATAAATCTGTTTCATCTGGTATGTAATTTAGTATGTTTAGCCTATTTTTTAATAGTCAATTAATCTCTCTATTTACATAAAATTATTCAACTGATTTTTCTTAGTGTTCCTCCATTTTCAAATTCTTTCTAAGATTAACAATACAACACAAATAATCATTCAAGGATTATTTAAAACATAAAACATAATACAAGACATTTACATTTTTTAATAATGATATAACTATATACTAATGGTGGGGTGTTTAGTAGCAATCTGTTTAATTTAAATAGTTTCTTTCATTAAAAAGATCCAGTAAACTGTTTCACTCAAGATTAAACAGATGCAAGGATTACCTTTCATTAGGAGAGGGCAAGTTGTTGTTAAAATCAACGCTGAGCTCATCAATGCCATCGAATAGATCTCTAAACAGAGCAAAGCGAAGCCATCGATGAACTCAGTACTGAGTTTAGGAACCTACCAAAGACAACTCACTTTACAGGTTAGTAGGTGGAGACAGTGATCCTGACGAGAAAAGCAGGAAACACTGAATCTGTTTAATTTAACCAGTTTTCCGAAACAGCTACTGAAGCTGTTTAATTAAAACAGAGACAGAAGTCTGTTTCATTTAAACAGCTTCTTGCAATAGATACGTAAACAGTTTTCTAAAACAGTAGAGAAAGCTGTTTAATTTAAATAGCTTCTTGCAACAGATACAGAAACAGTTCTCAGTTCAGTTCTATTTGTTAATTATGTTCACTAATATATTTATATATCTTTAAAAATGTTATGATTAAAAATTATAATTTTAATGTCCCACAGTTGATACTATATTATACATCTTTATTGGAAGTTGTTAGAAATGGTTTAGTAAATTAATGTTGAACAATTAAAATTCAAGCTAATCTAGTTATGCTAATGTCAGGGGGTGTTTAAATTTCAAAAATAGTTTCACTAGTTCAGGGAAAAGAAATTGGCTGCTCTGTAGGTTTCTCAGAAAGGAAAATCCCAAAGAGGAGAAGGTACAAAGGATTTTGTTTTGGCAAGTTGTTTTTCTGCAGTGAAGAGAGGATAGGAGAAGGGATCCTGGCTCCAGTGGGTAAAATCCAGTAATAGTACTACCATTTTAGAAGTTGTTTGGCAGGGAGACTAGTTTTTTGGAATTACAAGAGAGGGAGAGTAGAAGAAAGTGTTACCATTTTGGAAGATGTGTTTAGCAGAATATAGGAAAATATTAGAAGACAAAACAATTTAGTGCAACAAAGGAAGAAACAGTGTATATAGAAAAAAGGTTAGCTTGCCAATGCATACTTGACATTATATTAAAATCAAACAGTGTTTAGTGTAATTAATGTTAGCCTGCCTGAGTCTTTTGATATGATTGTCAGTAACCCATACCTTATTCCAATATTTCATGGTAAAATTAAAATAAGGTATGATTAAATTTAACATTTAGATTGATAATTGACACCACTCTATAAATATTATGTCTATGCGCTATTTAATTTTTTTTTTCTTGCTGAATTTCGGAACTGTCATATCTGTTTTCTTGAAACTGTTTTTTGAAAGTAGCAGAAACTATTGCAACTGCTACTGATGTTAAACAGTTTTGTCCATCACTACTATCTATATACACTGAACCAATATTGCACTATTGGCTTTTTTTTCTAATTTTTCCATGGTTCTTACAATTCTTTCCTTATATTTTGTCATAAATAATAAAAATTATCACTTTTAAATGAAGTGTATATTGTTCTAGTAATTACGATGACTTAATATCCATGTTGTACAATATTAGTAGGATTAACCTTGTTACGTTGTATCTATAAATGTTATATGTAGTAAAGACAAATCTTTTGTAAATAAAGATACTATATTGTGAGTATTATTTTTCACTGATATAGCCATTTGGCATTTTAAGTAATACTTGCCAGTTTTGAAGTTATGTAATGTTCAATGTAATGATGCAGATATTATAGATAAGGAACAATTCTATAGAGATCTGAAAAAAAATGCCACAAAAGGGCAAAAATGAAACAGAGACATAATTATAATGGGAGACTTCAATGCCAGAGTTGGATGGGACTATAGTCGGACATGAAACCATGGGTTATCATGGAGGCGAGCACACAAGAAATAAAAATGGGCAAAGGCTTATAGATTTCTGTGTTGATTATGACCTACTCATCGGAAATTCTTTCTATCCACATAAAAGAATCCACAAAATAACGTTCTCTGCAGAAGAAAGAAATGTAAATAGTATAATAGACTATATTATATACAGTCGAAGAATCAGGAAACTGTTTACAGATATCAAAGTAATCAGAGGTGCCGAAATTGGCTCAGATCACCTTCTCCTTGTAGGAGATACTCAAATCCTCTCTCCCAAGAAGAAGTGGCCCAGAAACTATATGAAAATTAACATTAAGAAACTTCAGACACCTGAAAACAAAAAGAACTTCTTAACCACAATATCCAGGAGGTCAGGGTGGATGGAAATGTGAACATTCTGTGGGAAAAAATAAAAAATGCAATAATAGACTCAGCAACCACGACTTGCGGGATCACAAAAATCTCACCGAAAAGCAAAAAATCAGAATGAAAGAGTGAAGGCAGCAGTCAAAAGAAAGAAAACTGCTTGGAAAGACTACATTAGAGATAAGACTCCAGTAAATTGAGAACTCTATGTACGCAGAAGAAATGAGGCGAAGTTAGTTGTTAGAGTGGCAAAAAGGAAGAGTTGGGAGGACTTTGTGAGAAGCCTACAGAGCAACTACCATGACAATGTTAAGATTTTCTGGAAAAAAAAGCGATAAAAACAAAGAAAAGTAAGCCCATAAGAAATATAAAGAATGAAAGAGGCGAATTAATCACTAGAGATACAGAAATTCTGGATAGATGGAAACGCCACTATGAGGACATTTTCTCAAACAATGATGCTGACAATAAGTTGGATATGTGTGAAACTCCTCTACAAGAATTTTACGAGATAATCTGGGAGGAAGAGGTCGAAAGTGCAGTAGAAAAACTAAAGAATGGTAAGGCCTGGCAGGGATGGTATTGTGTCAGAATTTATTAAATACGGGGGACCTGAACTGATGAAAGCCCTATAGTGTCTCTTTCAAGAAGTACTGACTAAGAAAGTTATTCCAGAGGATTGGAAATATAATGTTATTGTTCCAGTACATAAGATAGGAAATACTAGCGAATGTGGAAATTACAGATCTATTTGTCTTTCACAGGTTGTGTATAAGATATATCCTTCAATACTGGAGAAGAAACTTAGAGCAATGGGGGAGGAACATTTAGAAGAGGAGCAAGCTGCTTTCAGGCCTCACCGTCAAACCCCAGACCACATATATTCTCTAACAACAATAATCGATAAGGCTTGGGAATGGAACAGAAATGTATTTCTTACATTCTTTCGATTCCGTCCCTAGACAAGAACTATGGAAGGCCCTGATGGACAAAAATATTCCATGAGGATTGATAGATGCTATAAGGTCCATGTATCATGACTCAAAGGGCATAGTTAAAATAAATGGAATAGAGTCCGATATCTTTGCCACGAGTAACGGTATTAAGCAAGGAGACAGCTTGAGCCCCCTACTGTTTATTATATATATGGACGAAATTTTAAAGATTTGTAAACAACGAACAGCGCTAACAGTTGTAGGAAAATGGAACATGAGGACGATATTGACGCAAGTAATGGTCTTTGCAGATGACATCGTTCTCATATCAGAATCAAAGGAAAATCTGCAGCAAGCGGTGATCGAATGGGAGGCTGAATTAGCAAGAAAGGGTATGGCAATTAATGTCGGAAAGAGCAAAGTAATGCAGATTGGACGGGATCAGGAGGTTGTTGAAATTTATTGCAAAGGAAAGGTACTGGAAATGGTGGAGGACTTCACATATCTAGGTGCAGTGATAAACAAGAACGGAAGGGTTGACCATGAAATTTCCAACAGGATTAAAAAGGCCAATGATTACAGCTTATGCAATACAGTCATTGGGAAAAGGGAGGTAGAGAGGAATGTAAAATGCATATTTTTAAAGCGGTATATCAACCAACCCTTATATATGGGAGTGAAAGCTGGGTCCCATTAACCAAACACTTTAGCAGAGTTATTGCTAGTTAAATGAAATATCATCGAAGGGTAGCCTGCAGAACCAGGAGAGACCGAATCAGGAATGAAAAAACAAGAGACGACCTAGGCACTGTCTCACTAAAGGATTCTATAGAAAAGAGGCAGCTAAGATGGTTTGGGCATGTATGCTGAATGAATGAAGACCGTGACCCACGAAAATTCATGGAGGCAAGACCTGTAGGAAAACGCTCAAGAGGAAGACCCAGATTGTCGTGGATGGAGTATATCTCCCAGATCGGGAAGAAAAAAGGTATGAGGATAGGGGATATGAGGGCTCTAGCTCGGGACCGAAATGCTTGGGATGCATGGATTGAGGCACCTCCACGCTGAAAGGCACGAAGGAGGTAGAGAAAGAAGAAGAATAAGTAATGTTCAGAATTTGCATTTTTGTAATTGACTTATTATGACTCAACTATTAAATTATTTATAATAGTTATCCGTTTTATTTATGACTTTTTTATTCTATCTATTCTTCTATTTCATATAAAAATGATAATAAATCAGTTATTTAATATGTTTATGGATAGTAAAAGTTTTATCTTGGATATTATATAGTCGAAGTATCAGTCAGTTATTATTTATGCTGACATTTTAACTAAAGCTTTTGGTAGATCATTATCAGGGCTTAAATTAAATCAGAAATAAAAGAGCTGTAGATATTTGTGCAGTGTTTGATTTCCTACCTGTTTATCATCTTTGATATTAGATTATTGATTTATGAAACATTAATGGCTCTGTACTAATTTTATTTAGAAAACAAATATCAACCTCCTCCACCAATTGTTGGCACCGTCGAAGAAAGATGTATTTCTGCACTACAGCATGTTCTTGAAGGTTTAGACTGCCTTCAGTATTTCGAAGTTGATCATGATGTAAGTAATAACTTAAAACATACTTTGAACCTCATGTATTGTATGATGTCCTCTAATGTTAGTTATCCTTAAATTAGAAGTATTGTAAAATTTAAACGGGAGGGTTAGCTCAATGGGTAGTGTATTGGACTTCTTATGCCCATCTTTGAGTCTGGTTTTGTGCAGATAAATCTGTTATATGAGCCATGTATTATAGACTGTCCCTTGACTACCACTAATGTGGCCTATTATATATTATTTAGATTGTGTTGTAACATTAAAATGTAAGTCTTACAGAGTACTAATCATATGTTTTAATTTAATGATTAAGTAAGAAACACAATGAAACAACATTTTAATTGTAATTAATGATATGATCCAGGACACTACACTGGTTATAGTGATGTAGGTTTATGTTTTCTAACATTTCTATTCATCTAAATTATTTGAGTGTATAAGTAGATGAAAAAAAAAAAAAAAACAAAAAATGACTACTCATCACAGTGGCGACGTTTCAGCTCGTCGAGCCATTTTCAAGTCTAAAATACCCATCATGTACCTGTCCTTTTCACTTACGCGAATTGCAAGCGTCTACTCATAATAAAATTCCTTATTATTGTCATGTTCACCTTGTTTCTGAGTTACCCACATGTCATCCATCTCATTTTTAGTCGCTGAATAGAAATGAGATGGATGACATTGTCATGAACTTGTATCTTACAATCTTTATATTCAAATAGTGTCTTAAAAAAATATAATCTTTACCCGAAATGTGATTTAGTAATAAATTTTTAAATAACATTTTGTTGTTATTGTTTTAAAAACGAGTATTAATTTTTATTTTTTGTTGTTTGTCAATTATTTGATTTTGATGACAAGTTATAAATTCAAGTTATATTTATTCATTGTTAATCTAATTATATTTTTTTGTTATTTATAGTCTAAGGAAGAGCCAAAAATGGCTAATCCAAGTGAAGCTATCCCAATGCCCTTCCCTGGTCAAAGCACTGAAGAAAAAGGAGGGAAGCGTAAGAAAAAGGATAAAGGAAATAAGAATTCTGATGAAGTCATTAATGAAAATAAAACGTTAGTATCAATTGTGTCAACAAGAATTATTTAATCTTCAAAGATATTTTCTGTTGAACCTGTTAACAGAATGCAAATTGTATTTAGTGACTATATCTCTTTTAATCCTAAGTTGTGTTCACTAAAGTAAGGTAGCTTGTATTTATTTCACTGTATTGGTAGTAATCATTTAGTTCCCTCTGTAGCAAACCTGGGCAAAAAGTATTTTAAATATTATTTTAAAATACCAAGTGTTCTGCGTTTTTAGAGTATTATGTACTTTAATTACAAAGCGCTTATATTGTTTTCAGATAAAGTATTTCAAATACAATATATCAAAAATATTTTGTATTTTAATTACAAATAAAATACATACGTCTCATGTAATACTTTCAAACCTACTCAATTTATTAATTTATTTTATTTGAACTGATGCTGTATTTTGAATTTTGCTCTATTGCAAACATATCTAGTTTTACCATCCTCTTCATCTATTTCTTCCGAAATTTCTAAGGATGACATAGTTTCTAAGCACTTAGTGGATTCAAATCAAGGGTGTTTCTTGATGAATTCATTTTTTGTTAGGTTGATGTTAATCCATTTCCATTTAATTTTTTTTATTTTTGTATCATAGTTGTTTTGCTTATTCCTTTATTTTTTATTTGAAATAATTATGTATGGTTAAATTAAAATGCAATTTTAGAGGTATTATTGGACCATAGCTTATCCAATATTATTTAAATTATTATGGATGATATTATTATGTCATATCGGCCCTTGTAAATTAGTATTGGATTTTCTCTCTAACTAGTATATTATCAGGATTTGGATTCAATAAGAAACAGATATTTTCCTTTATAGTCATCTTATGAGCCTTAATAATTTAAGAGGTATGGTTGGTAAGATATGAACATGACTTTTTATTACTTATCTGTACCTATTAGTCCTATAAATCTGTTAATATACCCGAGGTTTATTGAGAATTTCTATCTAAGGTAGTACGTAGATCTGGTGTTTGTATGTTTTTCACATGCTATATTCATATTTGTTAGTATAATTGATTTGTTGGCTCTCTTAATTTTACAATGAGAGAGTGAGCAGTAAGGCACAGAGAGTGCTGCACGTGTTGAATCATGACAGCACAGAAAATTAGTGGGTTTCATCATAATTGTGGTTTGAGAGGTACTTCCTGGTTCCACTTCACCTTAAAATGAGTACTTGATATTAGTTGGGAGATAGTTTAGACGGTGTATCAAAAGACTGATCACCATGTCTCCCTTTTATATTCATAATTAAATATTTTTTAATTATTAATATTTTTTAAATATTTTTAATATTTCATATTTAAATATTTTTTTGTCTGACAATATTCCATTTCTAATACGTTTTATTATTTATTCAATTGGTTCCCTTAAAATTATTCTTTACGTGTTTTATTATTATTAGCCTAATAGATAGTATGTATTATTTAGTTAGTATGTAATAATAATTTTAAGAGGTAACTAATTGTTATTATGTTTTTTGTTACTGATTGGTATTTTTACATTTGGTTCTTTTAGCAAAGACTGCTCACTGAAGACTTTGTTGTGCCGTTCAAATGCTGAGACTCTCCCGAAATGGCAGACACCTGACAAAGTTGACTCTGCTTCATGGAAAAAACATCTGTGTTCATTGTTATGCATGAAGGCTTGTTTGGTTTATTCTATTTTGGTAGAGAAGGAAATGGAAGCTGAAAGGTTTTTTTTTTTTTTTTTTTTTTTTTTTTTTACCTTGATCTTAAAATATATACATATATAAATCTATTTCTACATGTTAAGAAAAATTATAATTAAAATGCTACAAGCAAAATAATTAATTTTGCTATGTTGTCATTCCACCAGTATTAACCCTTATCCTGGCAGGTGTCTCTCAGGACACCAGTTTTCTACAAGCCGATTTTCTCAATTTTTCAGCTTCAACACCAATGCTCTGTGGTTTTTTACTATATTTATCATGTTGGCAAAATGTCATGCGCTTGGCAACTGTGTTTTATACGGTTTACTTATGGAAAGGTTATTCCTCCTTATGGTGTTCACCAAGATGCCTTTTCACGGAAAGAAGGAAAGTTTACACTATTTTTAGCTAGTTTTTATTTGTTTTGGGGGTTCTAGGTAGCAAATTCGAATTTTGCATATGGTTTTCTATAGAAAATGTCTATTGGAATTGAAAAACAGCTTAAAATGTGTTTACACCAGAAAAAAAAAAAGGGTGAACTGTAGTTCACCGTGCCAGGTTCATGAGTTGCCATGTAGGTTGAATGAGGTTCACCTTGCCAGGTTCATGTAGAACATAGTAAGTTGACTGTAGTTCACCTTGCCTGGTTCATTTACTACTGTATTACATGGTGACTTTTATTATTTGGTTATTATTGGTTATTTTTTCTGAAGAATGCTTCGATCTTATCGTTCACGAAACCAATCTATATAGCATGCAGCTATCTGGGACGCCATTGAATGTTGATAAAAATGCCATAAAAGGTTTTATTGGCATTCAATTTCTGATGGGCATAATCGATTTACCAGCCATCACTGATTTCTGGAGTAGACGCTTCAGGCAGCAAACTAGCGCGGGCATTAAGTCTCTCAAAAAGTTCTTGAAAATTAGATGTTTCATTCATTTCGCCAACAATGAAGATCAGGATGACGACCCTTTCTTCAAAATCCGTCCCATCGCCGAACTTGTCCGTCAAAACTGTATAAACGTACCTCCTGAAAAGAAATATAGTGTGGACGAAATGATGGTGCCTTATAAAGGGTCAAAGGCAGGCAGCAAAAAACAATACATGCCAAAGAAGCCCTGCAAGTGGGGATTTAAGTTATTGTACGTTCAGGCATCTCCGTCATCGTGTATGATTTCTTTCCATACTGTGGGAGCTCATCTTTCAGGGGAATTGATTTCACGCCAAAAGAAGAAGCAATGTCCTTCTCTGCCCAGATCGTTTTGGCTTTGTGCAAATCTATTCAGGATCCACCATTGAGCACTGTCTTCTGTGATAATTTTTTCACCTCTCTCAGTATGATGGTTTACCTCCGTGAAGAGTTCGGGATTCTGGCATTGGGTACAATAAGAGCCAATCGAACTAGTAAGGCACCTTTATTATCGGAGAAGGAGATAAAGAAGAAGGGAAGGGGATGGTACGAGGAGTACAGCGACAATAAGAAGAACATTGCACTTATCCAGTGGATGGACTCGAAACCAGTACTACTGACGAGCACCTTCGTTTCAGCCGACCCTGTGGAGAAAATCCTGAGATGGTCAAAAGCAGATCGTGCTAAGGTTGAAGTTGATTGCCCACAGATTGTCAAAGAATACAATAGGCATATGGGAGGTGTGGATCTCTCGGACATGTTGATTTCTCTGTATAGGACGCCCTTCAGGTCTCATCGGTGGTACTTGCCACTCTTCGCCCAGCTGTTGGATATCTGCACGGACAATGCGTGGTTGATGTACAGGAGAAACAAGAATGTCCAGAAAGGCTCTGACATGGAGACAAATGATGATACTGGATCCAGCCAAAAAGAAAAAAAAAGAACACCAGTACGCTGTCTTTGAAGGATTTCAGAGCTGATGTTGCGGAACAGCTCATAAGGGACACCAGAAGGAAAAAGGTGCTTCCAAATCGCTTTTCATCAAGTCCCTAAAAAACGGATTTGACCGCTCGTCCTCGTCCATCAGTGTCTGGCACAGGGAAGTTCTCTCCAAAAGCTAACTGAAGTCAAGCTGAAGTCCAACATTTCCCTTCATACACAAAAAAAGGAAAATGTAGAGAGTGTCATAAAAACCAGACGACTGTGTACTGTGAAATTTGTGACAAAAGGCTATGTTTTGTGCCTAAACGAAATTGTTACCTCAGTTACCACGGAAGACTTTGAATTTTATTCCTAAACTATTATTTGAACTCTTATAGACAGCATTTTTTTCTAAGCAGTCAAGTAGCATTTCATTTTTTATGTTCAAATTTGTGATTTATTTAAGTTTTCTTGAGTTCCTTATTGGTTTTGGTGGTGAGAATTGATTGCTTTTTCAAGAAAGTAAGTGAAATTGTGATTTTGAAATGAGACTGATATTGAAATGGTAAGACTTGAAAATTGAATTTAATTAAACTATAAAGTACAAATTTAAAAGGCTGGTGATTTTTACAACTTATTCAAAGTTATTAGCTTATTTTTTTCTAATAAAGTTAACAATTAGGTTTGAGAGTTCTTTTATTTATTTAACTACCTAGCAAACAAACGTTTAGTAACCTGGCATGGTGTACCTCAGTCACTCTACTGGGTAATTCATGAACCTGGCATGGGTGACTAAAGTACACCAGTTGTTGTTACGACCATAGAAACCATAGACATGGGCGGATGCCCTATTCAAGTGTTTTTTTCAGCATAAGGGAGGGCTAGAATTTGAATTCTGAAAAAAGATTGAGAAAAAAAATCATTATTTCTACTTTTGCCTGAAAAAGGGTTAATAGATCTGCTACATTTAGAGCAAAAGTGATTTTCTTTGAATAAATACAAATTTTATTTGTTTATTGAAGAGAGGGAGTCCTTTAAATTATAATAAAAATCAAGCTGTAGTATTGTTTGGTAAAATCTGAAAAAGGAGAAAAACCCAAAAATTTTAGTTAGCTGAGAATTTAGTGATTTTTTCAAATGGTTGAGATTTTTTTCATTTTTTTTATTTGTGATTCTTGCTCTTTTTTTTTTTAATTTTAAGTTTTTAAAAATGTTAAATCTCCAAATGAAATGTAGTTAAAACACTTAATGTTCTTTTTATACAGTGTAAAGTGTCACTTAAAAAACAGAATAATCTTATATTACTTATATATTAAATTTTAATCACTGTATTGAACGTGATTGAGATTTGATGCAATAAGCTCAAAAACAAAGGATGTTTTATGTGATGTTACTTGAGTGAACAGTCATACTTTTTAAAGTAAAAATGTCATGCCAAATCATTAAAATATGAAAGAAAAGAAAATTTTTAGTAATAATTAAGAACTTTAAAATTATATATGAATGTTTTAGTGTTTATTATCACCATTTTATATCTGTTGAAGATAAAATATATAAGTAATTAGAAATAGCTTGTATACATATAACACTATTTAAGTATTGTCTCTAGTATGTCTATTCCTTCTTCTAATTTTTACAGTTATGTGGTTTGTAGTTGAACATTAGAAATAGACTCTGCAGGTTTTGTACTTTACAGTTATTTACTAATTTCATGAAATTACACAAATTTATTCTATTGGAAAGTCATATCTTTGAAACCTTTGTGACTGGGTATGTTGAAGCAAGGGTTTTATTAATGCGTTTGGAGCCATATGGGTTCATATCCCAGCTGGGTTAGTTAATATTAATTTAGTTGCATCTGAGAAGAGAATCTTGACGTTCTGACTACATTAATAAAGGACTGGGCTAACTATGATCGGATGCCGGGGACCTCAACCACAGCTAATGTGTTAATGTAAATGAAAAAGATTAGAAATTTTTTTCAAAATATTTATTTTTCTGTGTGGTAATCCAAACTGGCTGCTATTTGATAGTCGCCTGTTACAGTAAATTAATGCTTCTATGAACTCAGTTACAACAAATTCCTTATTAAGCTAAACCAAAATCGAATCCCCAAGAAAAATGCATTGATTTTTCCAGAGCACCTTTGTTTTAACAAAATAATTATGTTAATATGAAACACGAACAATTTTTGTGTGGCTCGTGAGAAATAACTTGATTATTTCATTTGCAATTTTATCAAGTCTCTTGAATTTGATCCTCCATGAATTCATATTAACTTCCTGATTAATGGTGACTGGTAAATGTCTGAGGGGTAGACCGAAGCGAAGATGGGAAGATTGCGTTAAGGCTGATCGGGTGGGGTTGGATTTGGACAGTGATCGGTGGAGGGTGGTAGACAGTGATTGGTGACGTCAGTATGGAACGGGTTTGTTAAGCCTTTTATTATTATTATTATTACCTGAATAATGATTTAGTAAGAATAGTTATTTGATTACCTAAACACTCGGGATAATTTTTTTTCCCCTCACCTTTTTTACCGAGAATTTTGAAAACCCTTTTTTCAACTAAAGTCATTACGCTGTATCTCATTTCTTAATGTTTACTATCAGGAAATGTCAGTTAAATTTTGCGTCATACAAGAAATAATTAAGAAAAGTTCTGTATTTACATTTTGATAACTGTTACTAATAGTTTTGCCAAGCTTTAATTGGTGTTATTCAGTATTTTTGCTATGTAATGTTATTTCCTGCTTAATATTTTCTTTTGTAACTGCTTATACAATTTAAATTAATCTAATAATGTCAATTAAAATTATGATCAATGCATATAATATACTAGTAAACTTTTTCCTGACCCAGTAAATAGCAAGAATTTTTTTTATTTATCTATCAAATGTAACTAAAAAATGTCATAAAAAAAAATTCCATTTTTGAAACTGTTACTCTTACTATTATTCACTGTTGGTGGTAGCAGTTTTATCTAATAATTGTTACTAACAGTTATGCTGATCTTTAATTAGTATTTACTATTTTTGGCATTATTTCTTGATTATTATTAAGTTTTATAAATATTTATACAGTTAAAATTATTGTCATCAATTGATATCATAAGGTCTATGTATTTTACAAATCTACTCATTTCTGATCCAGGCACTGTTTGGCTCTCAAGCATATTTGTGGAGTGCTGAGGTGCAGTTCCGAGAATGTTGCCCTTGCTGGTCTTATGTTGTTCAAAGCTGGTGATTGTTTATTTTCATTATGGAAGAACAACCAAAAGGACATTGATGAAGTAGACAATTATCCTGAAGTATTTAGACCTCCTCCGATTCCTCATAAATATGGTAATATGTATGTTTTTTCCCCCCATTGTTCTTGTAATTAGGTTGTTACAACAGAACATTAATCAAGTGTATATGACATTACTATACAGTAGTCCCTTGACATTCACTAGAATTAAGTTCCAGGAAAATGATGCAAATCTTGAATTCTGGTTCTATCTTTCTGTGACAATGTGTGTGATGGAGGAAGGGTTACATTTTATAGCTAACAAAGACACAAACACAAATGTTTGTTTGTTTTACACATTTGTTTTTATTATTTTTAATTGTATGTAATTAATTATTTTAATTTCTTTAGTCAATCCCTACATAATATTCAAAAAAATATTCTAGATGACAACAGCTTTTTACAAATTACCACTAAATGGGGGGAGGGGAGAGTATGCATTGGCAAGTTTATCTAAGTAGTGAATCAAAATACCTAAAACAGTACGCAATCCATATCACTTGCAGAGTTACAATTCAAGTGTGTTCGTGGGTGGGGTAGCACTGCACCGCCGTTGCCCGGCAACCTGATATCTAGACAAATGATATAAAAATAGCCACGAGTTCACATCCCGGTGCCCGAGGGGGTCTTTTAAATCCCCGCCCACACCCCCTGACCCAGGAAAACCCCGTATAGCCTTAACGGCGAGGAAGGGGAGGACAAAAAAAAAAAAAAAAAAAAAAAAAAAATTCAAGTGTGTTGAAGGAGAGGAGGATAGTGAGGAGTCAATTATTTGAAATATTACATACATTATTAGGAGCTAATTTTTGAAATATATAAAAGTATTTAGTGACCATGTAATATTTTATTTTCCAATCTTAAAAAATTATAATGCTGGGATTCTCTCTATTATACAAAAAAGTTTTTAGTGATCATGTAATATTTTATTTTTTAATCTCAACAACTTAAAATGCTGAGATAAAAACTTGAAATTTATTTATTTTTCCTTATTACACTACATTGAAAAAAATAATACAATCGGAACTACACAGAAAACATGTAAATTACATTTGTATGATTTGGAAAACAGGGATTGGTCAGCCGTTGTATGAACAGTGGGTACCCCATTAGTATATGCATTAACAATTTTTTTAAACATGCAATGTTGTTTTAGAACTGAGTTTGATACCCACAGAATTCGATAATACCTTCACTCTCTTAAATTCATCAATTGCTTGCTATAAAAGATCTCAAGAATTGAATCCGAATGGACAAACCTTGAAACGTCTTGGAAACGTTTACAATGAGATTGGAAACACATACAACAATTTAGCAGCAGGTAAATTAATCAAGTGCTAATTTTAATAGGATTAATAAATTTTATATATCTAATAAATAAGTATAGATAATTGATTAACTTGATATTTATGCAGGTTTTTAAAATATTCTTTTTAATATTGAAAAACAATCATATCAGTGATAAGGTTACACTACTTTCTTAAGTGTCAATTATATTTGTAGGACGGTGTCCAGCATATTGCAATTTCCTGACAACCAGATATTGTATGGAAATTTTTATGGTTAGGAAAAAACTGGGAAGTGTGCAGGAAATTTACAATAATTCATTTATTTAGACTCAACTGTGCAAATAATTTTTGGATATAGTTTGATGATATCATGAGCATTGAAAAGTTCCAAAACTTATGACCGACATTGTGTTGAACAAATCTAATGATTGCACCCTAATTGGCCAGCTTAAAGGTCTCACCTTATGTCATTGAAGGAATCAAAAGCCTTTCTTGTAATTACTGATAAAGTATCGATAGATTTTCACTATTGGTGGTCTCCCATGATACCTTTTATAAACAAATATAAATATGCATAATGATCCTAAGGGCAACATTTTTTTTAATTAAGTAGAAAATATTATATTAATTAGAGGATGTCTCCTAGTTGGGAAATTCAGAAATTTACAGTGAATTTTATTAAATTCGGGAAAGTCATCATTATTTCTAAACTAGTATATCTTTCTTCAATTTTCATAATATATATGAAAGGGTTAACTACCTAGGACCAATGTTTGATGACTGACTTGGTGCCCACATATTGAGAAAAAATTTAAGATGATAAACCAACAAAGTAAACTGTTATGCTCATTACTTAGACTATCAAAATTAAAATTTAGACAGAAATTTGTTACTTCGACATATTACCATATTACTTACATATATAACTATTTTGGTCTTACAATTCTCAAATTTCCAGTTCTGCCAAAAATACACGCACTCAAGACTCCAAACATTCCAATTAAAAATATTTAGATTTAATATTCAAGCACTTTGATTAGTTTCTAATTCAACTTTACATCAGCGAAGACATAAGGACCTACTTCAAAAGATTTCATGACAATTTATAGGGACATAACAATCAGCTAATTTAATTCTTAAGAATGACCACTACCAATATGCTTGACTACATCAGGAGGCTGAAAAGGCGTGGATGAGGAGAGATTTGTAAATTTATTTTTTTCTTGTCTAAAATAATGCAACAGAAGAGATTCTACTGGGTATTTTTTCTTCCTTATGCTTAACGTGCCATTAATACTTTATTACTGATTTTGACAGACAATTCACTGATTGTGCTATATTAGACAGTTAAGGTATAAATGTAGATACATTTTTTTTCTGTAAACTGGTATTCGTAAAGTTATCGCTAATTTTGGCTATTTATATTTAATTCTAATTTTAGATGTTTATATAACTATTTTAAGAATGACAAATTAATTTAAATTAAATTAAAAGATATATTTAGTGACCTGACCAAAGCCCCGAAAATTGTTATCCCCACATATATTATTACAGTAAGGATCGAAATCGGTTTGTACCAAATATAAACTCCTGTCATGCTCAAATACCATGAATGGGGTACCGTTGGATTCAGAATTTCACGGGGGGTTAGCAAACATTTTGCTAGGCTTCAATACTGGAAGAGTGGTAGGTCTGTAGATCGATACAGGGCAAATTAGATCTTCAAGATTTTGATGCGTACAGCAAGACCCGGATAGGTAACTATCGGATCCTGCGTTTTTAAGCCCCAAAACGTACTATTTTCGAGATAACGCAAGGCATAGGGTTCGCATCCACATAACCTTACATTAATTGTTGTACTATCATTGAATACATGTCTTATTTCGTCGAGTATAGGTCTCTATGATCGAGAGAGGAGGAGTTTATATTATTTATCGATGGTATTTTTGATAGGCAAGCCATATCATCGTCAGTTTTTCACCAAATCTCTAGATTGAGCCACCAATTTCGAAGGCTTCCTTCTCCTTCAGGTGGGCAAAAGAGTCCAATTACCCCAAAAATTCAGGCAAACAAGTTATGAAAGAAAACAAACTTTATTTGCGAATAACTAAAAAATTACACTTCTTTGCCCTAGTTAGGCCCACGATTATATAAAAGATTATGATTAGGGGATTATAAAATTCCCTACAAAATGAAAAAAAAAAAATCATCAAAATCGGAGAATTTTTAGCAAAGATACAGCTTACTGAAATTTGTAAACATGTTGGTTCCAAACAAAAATGAAGATTTAAATTAATTTTTGTTTTTTTTGTCGATTATATTTATCGATAAAGTAACATTTGATTTCTTAATATTTTGTTAATACGTTGCATTGTTTTATTTTCTTATTAATTTGGCATTTGATAACAAAATGCTGTGCGAACGGGCCTACTAGTTACATATTATTTGTTTTATCTTCTAATAACATAGCTACAATTTATGGTTAGCTAAGTAATAATGATATGTTTTCAATTTGACTTTATTTTTCCTGTGCATTGCTTTAAATGTTTAATAATTATTTAATTTTATAAAAACATAATTCATTCATCAGACTATGTAATGTGAACATTTTTTAAATTAGTATGAAAATCTTGCTGTTCAATACTGTGGTTTTAAACATATTACAAAATATATAATGTTTACCTTCCTCAAAGTGTAGTATAACCCTTAGAAAAAAAAATTATGATCCTCTTTGTTGCTCTTTAATGAAATCATCATTTTTAAAAAGTAATACATCCCTGGTGTATTATATTACTGTTTATTTGTGAAACATGTGGGTTCACAACTGTTATGAGTTTATGACTTACTATTTTTGGAACCATTGGGGAGATATGCGAAACCAAAATCCATTTCATTTTAATAATAATCAACATTATTATTATTAATTGTTTTGATAGTTTATTGTTATATTCAAATTTTTGGCTGTTGCTATAAATTTTGGATTTTTTAAAATTATTATTTTCCTTATTCGGGAACCTTTGGGCAGATATGAGTAAACAAAATCTATTTAATTTTAATCATAATCAGCATTATTATTATTATTTATTTATTTGTTTTATAGTTTATTGCTAGATTCAATTTTTTTTCTGTTATAATAACTTGTTCTTTTTTTTTAAAATTATTATTTATCTTATGTCAAAACTTAAAATTTTCAAAATCAAAATTTGAATTAGATTTCTTTTTGTATTTTATACATTATTTACTAATACCACGGTATCGTTAATTATGCAGTATTTTGTAAATCGAGCTATTTTTATTTCTGTTATTCAATTAGGCACTATTTTGATTTGTTTCATTCTTTATATATTTTCTCAAAACCATTTTAATTAATTTGAACATATTGTCTGTAGGTATATTATTTTTAATAGTTTAATTCCACTATTTAGTTTAACATTTAATTAATTATTGGAATACAATTAATTCACGTAGTTAATTTGTTAAATTATTTTACAGAGATGGTTCAAACAGAGAAACATCTTAATGAAGACACAAAGGTGAGTGGTTATGTAGATATGTGAAGTTATTCTTATTATTAAGTTTTAACATAAAAGTTTCATTTTGGGTTAATAATCTTGATATCAGAAGGGGAATTATTAAAATTTTCATAGGTATTATATTCATGGTGTTATACGTATATGTAGGATATTGCTTAAATGAAACTGCCCATTCAAGTCTGCTATAAGTAATCACTCTTTTTGCTAGGTCCCACATGCGTACGCTAGTACCACGATCCTGTGTAGTGGGATCAAGAGGTTCTGTTTCTGTCATATAACATTTTGGGAAGTGTGCTTTAGCTAAAACATTCAACGTTTCAATTTCATTTGTGGTGAGTTTTTCTTCGTGCTTGAGTGTTCTCATTGTACCTAAATTGGTTTGTTTTGGCAGAATTTTGTTTACTCGACATACCGCCAGAATATTATCTACCTCCAGAATATTATCTACCTCCAGAAAAAACCTTTTCCAGGCTTGCCTTTTGGCTCTCCCCTTGGAGATCCCCTTGATGGGTGTATTTAGCTGCTGCAAGATTTCTAGAACAGAATTGCCATAGAGGCAGTAGTTTTAGTTTATTCTTGTCTAACAGGCAGGCCCTGGGGTATGTAGCACGGAAATAATACTGTACCCAGGCATCCTCATTCCCCTGATCCTGACTTCAAGTAAATAAAGTTCAAGTATTAGAATAATATCTATATCCTTACATTTTATGTACTGTTGCAATACACCACAATGCTGCGATGCAGTGGTGGATGTTGATCTGCAGCAGTTTCATAATTATTTTTTAAATGTTATTTCCGGGAGACTGGTTTTTCAGACGAAGCCGATAGTAGGGTTCCTCCATCAGACTCAGTTTTCACTTTGCCTTTTGGTTTCTCTCCACCGCTTGACCTCCCTTCTGAATCCAGTTTTCTCTGGATCCTTTGGCTTGGCCCCGCCTCCTCATACAGCCGACGGCTTTGACCCTGACCTCGATGCACTCCTTGTAGAATAGGGGGATTCCTTACTTTCCCTCTCTTTTGAAGTCCCAGCTCTTGTTGCTTTGTCTTGTAATTCCTCTGGAGCAGGCGTGGTGCTTGACGCCAGATGCCTGAATGTAATGACTTAGATGCCACAACAAGCCTGCATTCCATGTGTTGTGAGGCTCTGGAGGCTTGTCTCCGGTATGTTGAACAATCTGAAGGATCCTCTTTCCAAAATCTTTGATTGAATACAGTCCAGCTACTAATATCAGTTATTGACTGATTTTGTATCTGGAGCCGGTTGAGATAATATTCAGCAGGCATAGCCTTTTCTGGAAAGAAGGCTCCGATCCTGGTGATTTTTGTTAGTTCACTGTCCTCACAGGCTCCTAGGGTCAGACGCTCTTTGATTGTGATGCTCGGTGTGATGTTCTTGAACTAGTCCACTGTATGGTCGTCCAAGCAAAACACCAGACATCCACCTAGTTTGTAGAGCAGTCCGTGAAACTTCGGGTGAATGTCTCCTCCAATTTGTAGTCAGTCTATCTTGCTGGCAATAGCTCCCTTTAATTCTTTGTACTGATCGTAGCTATGTTGGATCTGCGGATATTTAGCAGGAATCACCGCTACCAACTGTCCTCTAGCTACCTTTGCATAGTTTTTAGGCCTTTCGGCTTCCCTCGGTTTCTTAGCAGTTGTAGTTGAGGTTTCTAAGGATGTCCTTGCACGTTTCTCTACAGTCAGTCTCGATCTCGGTCTCCACCTTTGAGGCCTCGCAGTCTTTGTTGCTGGCCTGTGTGGCCTCACAAACTTAGATGCTGCTGTGATGAACCCCCCCTCTGTTATCCATGAGTCCCATCGGACTCCCTGAGGAGCGCCACATGGAGGTGACAGTAGGTGTTGGTAAGGATAAGGGGACCTGGGAACTCACAAGCAGTGGATAGGGCACTAACGCTCAATCGCTCCTCATTGAGTTGGGGAGATTCCCGCACCCATCTCGCACTCTAGACCTCCTGTTACCCTTAAGTTTATGAGTTCAAATCCCAGTGCCAGAAAGGGGTGAAAGAGAGAGGAAAAAGTAAAGTAAGTGAACATAAAAAAATCTGGTGCCCGCATCATACAAGTTTCACTATTTTCTCTACTTTTAACAGAAATTATTGTCTGACAAAATTGAGCTATAGCAAAAAGTTTTTGATTAGCAATATTAGAGTGATTTTTATATTTCTTAATGGACATATTTAAAGATATAAAAACTTTCTGAAATAGGTAGGAAAGTCGTGTGAGTGAATGCACCAGATCTTTTTGCTAGCAAACATACTGCTGTTTACGGATGTTTTGTAAAAACATCTTTAAAAAGCATCTACGCCCGCACTCATCTAATATTTCTTTCTTTATTGTTGTTAACTTATGAAATATTTAAATGTTAAATGCAGTTAAGTTTATTTAAAAATATTTTTCAGTTTATTCACTTTATTATTGAAGCAGAAAAATATCTTACCGAAGGTTTAAAAGTATTGGAATTAATTAAAGATAATTTGAACACTTCATTAGTAATGTGTAACATTGGAAGGCTCTGTAGACTGAAAGCACACATGGGCTGTGATGTAAATGGTCACTTTGACTTACACCAGAAACAGATGTATATGAAGGTAACTATTTTACTGAATTTTGTTTAAAAAATACCTGATTAACATGTGGTGGCACAGCTATAGTTTTGGATGTTCATTTGAAAATAGTATTGTATGAAGTTTCTGAAGGTTTATTTAAATAAATTATTGTTGTTTTATCATTTAACTATCATTCATTTAACTAAGCTATGCTATATTCTATGTATGTTTGTTACTTAGTAATTGCTTATCTATGCATATTACTTTAATATAGTATCAATTACATACTTCATTGTACGTCTTTGATTGTCGAAATTCAAATATGTGCATATACAGGCTGTCGAGTACTACAATCTAGCATTATCAGTGATTGGTTCTCGGAAAATTCAACCTATAATATGGGATTCTATTGCTTGGGAGCTCTCTACTACTCTGTATCTGATGGCCACTCGTTATCAAGAAAATCCTCTTGCAAAGGTAACTTAGTTATTCTTAGTAATTTTAATTTATTTTTAAGTTTAATTATTGAATGATTATGTAATGGTTTGGTTTATGAATAATGATTGATGTTGCATCTTCCTTTTTTTAAATTGTTGTAATATTAATCCTGTGCTGTTTAAACAAACATATATTGAGTTGAGAAAAAATTAATTTAAATTTTTTAAATATTTTTCAAAGCAAATTTATTTATATAAATTTTAAACACTAACCAATGATATATGTGCCTGTTTAATCAATGACCTTTTATCACTTTTCTGGTAAAACCGTAAGTCTGTCACTGTAGGAGTTTTGAGATTTCTGGACAAAAACGGAACCAAGTGATTTTCACAATCCTCTTTTGATGTCAGCTTTACACCATTAAGAGAGTTCTGGAGATACTGAAACAAATGGTAGTCAGTATTATCAGACATGTCAAGGTCCAGGCTATACTTCTGGGGCTCAAAACTTCCCTGCCAAGCTCTCTCAATCTTTGCCACGTCGTTAAAGATATGTGCTGTGGTCTAGCATTGTCATGATGGTAGGCTACACCTTTCCCATTGATCCATTCTGGCTGTTTTTCAATGGCACTAGTATTCACAGTAGAGAGTTAAATTAATGGTTAGGCCAGGTTTGAGCAGCTCATGTGAAGCTTCTTTGGGTTTTGACCTGATCTTTTTCCCATATTATTTCGCTTTTGTGGTCCTCTTTTCATCACTTATAATCATTTGCTTCAGAAATAGCTTGATTTCTATATATTCTTGTTTGTTTTAGGGGAAAATTTTATAATAATATAAAATAAGGCTGTTTTATTTCTTCTTTTTTGGTTTGGTTTGGTTTTTTGGTTTATTTCTATGTTTTTGGTCAAAAGGGCAGAGTGGGCCGACGCGTTGTCATGATGAGAGAACCAGTCGCCTATGCTCTAAAGATCTTTTCAAAATTTCCAAGTAGAACTGATGGTTGACAGTTTGACCCAGGGAACGAACTCGGCATGCACAACACCTCTGTAATTGAAGAAACAAATGAGCATTGTCTTGATGTTTGACTTCAACTTAGCGAGCTTTTTTTGGGCCGTGGAGAACCAGCTGTCTTTCACTGGCTTGTATGCTGCTTTGTTTCGGGATCGTATCCATAGCGTCACGATTCATCTCCAGTAATTACCTTGAAAAAAAATTAAGAGTCGTCTTTGAGTTGATTTTGAACCTCAAAACATGCCTGAAGTCGACACTCCCTTTGCTTGTCTGTGAGAAGATGAGGGACAAATTTGGCTGCAATTCTTCTCATGTACAAATCTTCAGATAAATTATTCTGGATTGAACTCCATGATATTCTAGACATCTCACAGAATTGATCAATGGTTCTGCGACACTCTTCACGAACGAGAGATTGAGTTGAGGAGCTTCCTGCACGGGGTTGGTCTTTCATTGACATTTTCAAAACATAAAACCATTCGCAGACTCTGGTTTTATTAGGGCAGAATCCCCATAAATAGTTTAAAGCATTACAATAGTTTCCGTGGCCGATTTCCCCAACAGGAAACAAAAAATTTACAACTGCATGCTGCTTTTGACAATGGCTTTCAGTGAATGGAAAAAGTTGTTTCACCAAAAAAATTCTCACAGGCAAATCGATGCGCTCACAGCGACACAACTTCGCAGACCAACTCAGAATACGTGTCCCTAATGGACACTGGGTCGAAGAATGGGTTCCCCCATTCTTTCTCCCCACCGCAGCCCAATTCCTGTTACTTTTGGGTTCCTCCTCATACATTATAATATTTTATTGTATTATTTTTCCTTTCGTTGGCCCAAGACTCGCACTGAAATCCTATAATGTACATTATAATTATAATTTATTATATCTACATGCCAGAATAATCTATATATTTTTTAACTTTGTTATTATTCTAAGGGGACTTTAGTCCCAGAATTGAACTAATTTTTCATTTCATCCATTTCATTTTGTAAATGGGAAAAGAAAAAAATGTTATGTATAAAGAAACATTAATTAGAAATCAGTGCAATGTGAAAATCGGATTAAAATATAATCATAAAGGATGCAGTGATTGGAAAATATGTAAAATATATAGGTATACTTGTTTATTTGTTTGTTTAAAAAAATGTATATAAATATTAATGAGAAATAAATAATCTCTAAAGAATAAATAATATCTTCTAATCAGTATTAATACAATCTTAAATGAGGATATAAAACGAAATATAAAAAAAAAGAAGAAAAAAATGATTAATTAAATCTATTTAAATTTATGCAAAAACAAAATCCTTTCACTAAATATAAATTATTTTCATTGTGGAAAGATTTATATTGTTATTGTTGAGATTCTTATAAATAACATATTGAGATTCTTATAAATAAAAATCTTGAAAAGACACCAGCAAAAAAAGTCATTCATTGTTCACCATGTGCTTTCAGTTACTTAGTTTAATATTATTATAATATGCAATACTATTTAATTGCTCAGGGAGAAGAAGCAGAGAGGGAAGCCGTAGATCTCCTACAGAAAGCCCTCCGCCATTGTGATCTGGTCAATGAAACTGCTAAGTTACCACTTTACCAGTTTCGTGCAGCTTCATTGCATTATAGAATAGCCTCTCTGTACCATAATTCTTTGAGGTCTGTAATTTATTATAGTTAATTAAATATTTACAACAATAATGTATGATCAGATATTTATGTTTTTCTTGTAAAATATTTCTTAAACATAAATTATTAACTTAGATTATTACAGGACTATGTTCGAGGTTAGTCTGGTGATCCAAAAATCTACAATAGAGCAGTTCAATGAACAATTCATTTTAGACAACTAAAAAGATTAAATTGTCTGTTTAATATTTTTGAAAGAAGAAATATTTTATATTTTTGTTTCTTTTCAAAAATTTTTTTTATAAATATAAAATTATTTGATATTTTTTTGTATCTAGTGTTTGGTCATTATCTATTAGTCCATGGGGCTTAACCCTTTGACTGTAGGAGCTGATTCGAATGTTTCTATCAGATGGCAGCTCCCGAAATCTAAAAAGATGTTCAGAAAAACAAAATTTTTTTTGTTGCATAAATTTGTTTAAAATATTATTTTGAGTCATGCTACAAGATCTTAGGTTAAATTTAATGACTTAGATAATACTAACTTAGATTTAACTTTTATTATCCGAGACATATGCCTTCCCAGCTGCACATGGCAAAGAAATATTAGAGCAGTAATTCTGTAACACTTATTACAAAATTATCTTAAAAATAACTGTAAGTGATCATAAAAATTAAATTTTATTTTTTCTAAAAAAAGGACACAGACCGGCGGGATTTGAATTATATACAGTGGGTCAAAAAAGTGTTAGCACACTCCAATTTTTATGCAAATCTCAATAGGATTAAGATCTTTTCCAGAAATAATATTTATATAACAAAGTGATCTTTGAGTATTATATGTTAGAAGCAATGCATGTTCAGAATTCAAAAGCTATATTTAAAATAAAAATAAAGAGTAAATTTTGAGGATCATAAAATTATTGACACAGTTTTAAATGTTTACTGTTAGCTCCAGTCAAAGCAAATTCCCCCTTTTTCTTTTGTGAGATTAGAAACGAGGATTGATGATAATACAATTACAATAATAAAAGTCAGTCTTTGCTGTACATTTGCCATAACAACATGGATAAACTAGTCAATATTGTGTCAATTTAAAAAAAATATCATTAAATTACATTCTGATGGACTTAGCTACTAACAGATACCAAATAAATTAGAAATTGGTTTTAGTGTAGTGTTCAGAATATTGCACAAAAGTTTCGAAAGTTTTAAATAAACTCTGTTCAGAATGGCCACCAAAATTAAATGGTAGAGCACAAAGGTACATCAATTTATTGAGCAAAATCGCACTTTATCAGCCGCCGAAATAGCAGAAGAGGTCGCATCTACTTCAAATACCACCTTCTGTTAGAAATATAATTCATATATTTCCAGGTTCCAAAGGAAAAAAAGCTTTTATTACAGAGGTGAACCGCGTTATTAAAGGTTTCAAATTCTGGAAAAATGCTATTCTTTCAGATGAAAGTAAGTTTAACGCATTTCATTCTGATGATGACTAGTACATTTGGCTGAAACTTGACTCTGAGTTTTAAGCTCGACATTTTTGGCCCACTGTAAGACATCGATGTGGAAGTGTCCAGGTTTGATGTGGGTATTTTTTTTGTTTAAGTACCCTTATATATACAAATTTTAATATTTTTATCGCTGTAATCTATATAATTAAATATTAAATAATACCTATGATAGCATTTATGAAAACCGCATATGTACATATTATTGTTGGAGTCAGTATTATATTAAGCTCATAATACATATGGAAGCCTCTTCTAATCTTTCGTGTGTGCTCATATTCCTTTGGTTCCTCCATTACAACTATTCTGCATTACCATCTCTCATTTCTCCTTTAGTCAATAATAAAATTCTTTCATATTTTATATTTAACTATTTTTTATATCAGAGATCAATGTGAAATCGTTAATTGTTTCAAAGGAAAAAAATTAAAGGGACTTTAGGGGAAGCTATTATTGAAAATTAGCCATTTAAGTCCTGTTAGAGAACATCAATGAGAATAAAACCTACATTATATTAAAAACTGCTTAATTTCACACTGATATAATGAATTTAATCAAAATTGTTAGAGATGTTTTGAAGAAAATTGATGATATAAAGGGCCACTTCCAGTTAGTCGATTTTGACAAAAAGGTGTGTTTAGGGTTGATCACCCTAAATTGTGGTTATCCCCCCCCCTTCATGGGGTACATGTAAAGGACCAGGGAAGTAGGTAACACTGCAGCGACGGTGGCGCTGTATGCACCAAAAAACTAGCAGTGAAGAGAAAAATGGGCGACTAAACCCACACGAAGTAGACAAAGTACTCTATCCTCTTCAAGACCACATTTCTTGCTGTTCTACCATGGGAAGAGGCATGGAGTAGAACACTGAGACCTACCGGACACATGGAGGTGAGAAGTGTAGCAGCCGGCTGACCACCGTACTTCAGCATCCAGCCACATCAAGTAAACGATTGTAGAACCATTATACGCCAAACCCCCATCTTTATATACTGGTTAAATATAATTATAATCAATTTCATACAGTCCACTTGTTCTTTCAAATACCCAATAAACATCTGTACCATATCATAATAAAAATGATGGTACATCCCATTTCATGGTTCCGACCGGGCCGGATAACCAGTTCATAGTCCACAGGACCGAGTTATTTATGATTAGTTATTTAGTCCTAATTTACATTTTATTGTAAAAAACACATCACCTGAGCCATCAATTAGCCATTAGCTGACAATAACTTGTAATTTTCATTCAATTTAAATATCAAAGATTTTCTAATTGTATTGTCAATATTTCATTTTAGTTGTCTAAGTAGAATCAGTAATTTAATAATTTATTGTATCATTATTTTCTATCTATATACAAATATCTTGCATAGCATGATATTTAGTTAAATGGCTCTAACATTATTCACTGATTATATTATTACTACTAATCATTCCACATAACCTTCATTTGATATTGAAGTAATTTTTTGTTATTTTCTTTCAATTACCACTAATTATCCTAATGCTTTTACTTGTTAACTATTTCAATTGTTTATTTATTTATTTCATGAAAGTGTTTTTTTTTTATTTTCAAATAGGCTTTTTAATTACTATAAAAGGTTATTGTAAGGTGAGCTTCAACTTTTATGTCTCAAAAGGCTATAAGTATTAAATGATATAATATTTGATTCTTGATTTGATTAATTTAAATTGTTTAACTTTACCATTGAGTTAAATGATAAATATTTTCATAGTATCAAGGCTGTTCATTAGAAGGGATAATAGTCATTCTACATAACCTTTATCTGATACTGAGGTAACTTTATTTCTTTCTTTAAATTTTAGCTGTTCAATTTAAATCTTTCACAGCATTTGCTCATTAAATTATATATTCTGTGATGGGGTTTAATAAAATCAACTAGAAAACTTACTTATTTCTTTATTGAGTGAATATATATAATCAAACAGAGCAAATATTTACATTCATTATTTCACAATGTCATCTCAATTCACTTAAATCACAATATATGCTCAAACTATTTCATTTCACTAATAATCTATCACAACTTATCACTGGTTTCTTCAAAATTTATGTTGAACAATTGATTTATTCTAACCTCTTGACTATACGTTTATCTCAATTGGGAACCTTCTCTATGTTATTCTCCCGCCTCGCGGTTCCCCAAAGAGGTAGTAGGCCTCTCCAGTATTCTCGGTCAAGAGCCACCAAACCTGTGACGTCACCGTGTACTATTTCTTGTGACCACAGATTTTCTTTGTTCGTTTCAACATAATTTTTTGTGATAATCTTTTGTTTATTTTCATTCTCTAGTTCTTTGAGCATGTTTAAATTTGTGTCTTCTTGTGATTTGGTTATTTTCTAATTCTTACTCACCTTTTTTCAATGGTTTATTCGAAATTATGTTGAACAATTGATTCATTCTAGCCTCTTGACTCTTGTGTTTATCAACTGGGAACCTTCTCTATGTTACTCTCCCGCCTCGCGGTTCCCCAAAGAGGTAGTAGGCCTCTCCAGTATTCTCAGTCAAGAGCTACCAAACCTGTGACGTCACCGTGTACTATTTCTTGTGACCACAGATTTTCTTTGTTCATTTTCAACATAATTTTTTGTGATAATCTCTTTGTTTATTTTCATTCTCTAGTTGTTTGAGCATATTTAAATTTTTTCTTTCTTGTGATTTGGTTATTTTCTAATTCTTACTCACCTTTTTTCAATGGTTTATTCGAAATTATGTTGAACAATTGATTCATTCTAGCCTCTTGACTCTTGTGTTTATCCACTGGGAACCTTCTCTATCTTAGTCTCCCGCCTCGCGGTTTCCCAATGAGGTATTATGCCTCTCTAGTATTCTCAGTCAAGAGCTACCACACCTGTGATGTCACCGTGTACTATTTCTTGTGACTTCACAGCTTTTCTTTGTTCGTTTCCAACATAATTTTTGTGATAGTCTTTTGTTTACTTTAATTCTTTGTGTGTATGAGCATGTTTCAATTTATTCTTCGTGATGCATTTTTATTCTATTTCTTACTAGCCTTTTTCGATGTGGTTGTGCTATTGGTGAGTCATCACTTTGTGGTTTTCTCTCTTCTTTTGTGTCGACCGTCTTTTCCTTTGTGGTCTCACCTTCTGTCCGGTAGGTTGCTTATTCTTTCAAATTGTCATATTGATTGAGTTTGTTTATCTTTTCACTTTTTTTCTTGATTATCATCATGTCTAAACAACATGGAAATAAGAATTCTCCTGGAGACGATGAATCTTCAGCACCTACCTCAGGTAGTAGGAAAGAACACGCCTTGAAGGCTATCACCCTTGAGCGCATGCTCACTGAATTTGAACTTGGAATCCAAGGGATTTCTAAAGTTAACGAAGCAAATCTGGTTGGTCGAGCCTTTTTTGTATTTAAGGCCAAATTAGTTGTCGCCGAATCATATTGGTCAAGATTCCAGGTCACGTGGTATGACAGAGCTGAGTTGCAAATGCTGATAGGAGAATCGGACGATTTCCCATCGAACTCGTGGTTGGATCGCTACTCTGCTTTGGAGAATGAGATAATTGAAGCAAGTGCCACTCTTCTCTGGGTCCAACACACAAAGGCAGCACAACAAAGACAAGCAACAGTCTCTCATCCCGGTTCAGCATTTCATTCAACTGTGACCACTTCATCTTTTACGTGCCCTACATCTAAGGCGATCAACTCACACTGTCAATTCAGTGCATCTGCAAGTGCCTCAGAGGCAAACAATTCAGAACGCAATTTTGTTGCTGAGCGCCCAGCTGCGCCAGAAAGGCATATAACCAGCGACACTCTGTTGGAAAACTATTGTGTCCAAGATTACTCAAGTCTACAGGAAACCTCCAAGAGGTTAACAGCGCTCCATGAGCCACTTCATTCAGGTTCTGAATGCCCAGCCGCTTCAGATCCTCATGAACCCAGCGACATTTCGCTGCCTCCAGCTGAGCGTCGACTACATCGTGCCTCCACGAGGTCACTAGTCGACCAGTCTTTACAAGCCGGACTCCATGAGTCCCATTTCAAGAAATCTAATCGACCAGCTGCGTCAGATTTCAACAAAACCAACGATGTTCTGTTGGAAATTACAGTTCCTTCAGTAGCATCAGATGCTTATGTGTTTAGTGACATTTCACTTGAGCCATCTTCTTTCATTGAAGATAAACAACGTTGTCACACTTCCAAGATGTCGTTAGTACGACATCAATATTTTTCTCCCAGGCTCCCTAAGCCTCGATTGAAAATACATGATCGCCCAGCCGCGTCAAGTCCTAAAACAGTGAATTACATTACTACAAGATGCTCACATTGGCGGAATAAGGCAGAATCGCAATCCATCTTTGAGAAATACTCAACTGAATACAGTTTACCTCCAGCTAGATATATAACTCTGCAGCAGGCTCTGCAACTGCTTAGAGAAATCATACATTTACTTCGGTTGGGAGACACCGAGGTCATCTTATTTCCTTCATGTATCCGCCCACAACTCTTGTGTTATAACCAAGATGGCGGATACATGATTCTCGGATTGCGGCAGTTCTACAATATCAGTTCTACATCTCCTTCAGTAGAACCTGCCTAAGATATAGCTTATTCATTAAATTGTTAGAAACTTCTAATCTAGTTAGAACCAATTGTTTTCAAGGGAATCAAAGTGTTGTAAAACTTCATTTATGCCTATGACACTTTCAGAGTGTTCATTATAGTTTATAATCAGAGCACTTTACTCTTAAATTTCACGCAATCTGAAATATTTAGTTTTGTATCCAACATCTTTGCTCAACCATTTTGCAATACATGATCATTGAATTAGTCTCCGGTCTTCCACCTCAGTTTTAATTTCTATTCTGGTAGCTCTGTATTTTGCGCAATAAAGGTTCAAGGGCTTTTTCCTTAAAATTTCTTAGTTCCTAACATTCAGGAAGTTTCACAGCAACTTATTATTCCACATACCTTTTTGTTCCCATGGTCTTTGCAGGGTGGGCGGTATGTGCAAACTTTGTTTAGCCATTTTAATTAGTAACTCATGTGCTACAGTTTCTTTGTTTGTCGTTTTATATATGACTCCAAACAGCACACCTTAATATACCATGATGCAAGTAATCATATACCCACCTCAACTCCTTAATAAGTTATGGACTAATATGTATGTTGTATAGTTTTTTCCAAACTTCAAAAAAACCCAAGGTTTGGATAATGAACAGTCGTGAATCATCTAAATTCATTTGTTGAGGAGTTGTAATATGCAATCAGTCAAACCGTTTTCTAAAAACAAAGAGTAAATTCAGTGATAGGAAGTAATACATACTTTTTCCAATTTTCCAGTTTCCCTATGGAAAAGATTATTAATATCTCAGGAGCATTCTTGAAACAGAATTTTGAACAAATTTTAATTTTATTTTTTTTACCTCTGAGATGGAAGATCACTCAGAAGATTGAGGATTCCCTCAACCTTTTCTATTCTAGATTTCGTATTTTATTCATTTATATTTTTCTATCTTTTATTCTTTCTTTACGTTCAATGCCTTAATTTTCTTCAATGAACATTTGTTCCTCTTTTTGCTTGATTGAAGCTCACCAAGGTACCATACAGATGTATTTTTCTTTATTTTTTTTTAAATTATTAAGTATAATTTAGGTGGGCGGTTTGTTTAGGGTTGATCACCCTAAATTGTGGTTATCCCCCCCCCTTCATGGGGTACATATAAAGGACCAGGGAAGTAGGTAACACTGCAGCGACGGTGGCGCTGTATGCACCAAAAAACTAGCAGTGAAGAGAAAAATGGGCGACTAAACCCACACGAAGTAGACAAAGTACTCTATCCTCTTCAAGACCACATTTCTTGCTGTTCTACCATGGGAAGAGGCATGGAGTAGAACACTGAGACCTACCGGACACATGGAGGTGAGAAGTGTAGCAGCCGGCCGACCACCGTACTTCAGCATCCAGCCACATCAAGTAAACGATTGTAGAACCATTATACGCCAAACCCCCATCTTTATATACTGGTTAAATATAATTATAATCAATTTCATACAGTCCACTTGTTCTTTCAAATACCCAATAAACATCTGTACCATATCATAATAAAAATGATGGTACATCCCATTTCATGTGGTCCTCCGGGGCCGGAACTAACATCCCAGTCATATGACATCCTTAAATATGCAATTTCACTTTCGTGCGACTTTTCGTTTTTGAACTAGACTGCTAACACACACACACACACACACAGGCCATTTTATGGGACTTGGTTATTTGGACTTAGGTGACCTCAAAATGTGTGTTTTCGTTAAAAATTGAGATTTAAAAATTTTCACGATCGCAATACTTTCCTTTATTGTATATTTCATATATAGGTAAGTGAAAGTAAAAAAGTAGTAGAAAAAAAGAATAGATAATCAGATCAAAATTCAATGACATAAAATATATCAAAATCACAGATTAATCTCTTCTAGAATTTTTAAATTTAGGTTTCTCTTTTTTTATTTGCTTAAAGGACCTCTACTTATCTCTGATGACGCATTTTTAAAATATGAAATTATTATTTTCATTAGTTTTTTAAATTATAAAGTACACATGCGTACTAATCAATATTGCTGTTTGTTTTTTTAGGAAGAACCATTTTGATGAAAGCAAGAAGAAAAGTATACGTCAATTATGTTATTTGCATTATGAAAAGTCATTCAGTCTGTTTAATCTTCTTGAAAATCCAGCTGATATAATTCGTGTTCAATTAGAGAGGGTTATTTTAGCTGAGTTTTTGGCCACAGGTTATAATTTTTCTTTAAATTTATTTTTATTTAAATGTTGGTTGATCGCAAATTTTAGGTTAACATTAATTATTTTTAGTTATTGTTTTAAGTTCTATTTTGTTTTTCAGAGTCAAAAAGTCAACATTGGCAATTGAAACATTATGAAGAAGCAATCAGCTACATCGTTGAATGTCGTCAAGTTTTCATTTCTTTCGAAGAACTTGAGAAAGAATCAGGTTTAATCTTTAGCATCTTTTCGTAGCGTATAGTATTTTTAGCTTTAGTTCGTAGGATATGTAACATTTCTGAAGAATTAGTTGTTTTTATTAACTATCCTTCCATAATAAACATCTGAACAATCCAAACCCTCTTGTTTCTAACCTTGCTTCTTCTCCTATTTCTGATAACCATCCAAGGCATCTGAAAAGAAGATGGCCTCGTGACCTTTTAATATAGAAATATAATTGGAGTGCTACCAATAGTTTCTCTTCATGTTGTACATGTCATGTTACTAATTTCATATTTACGTGTTGTATTTTTCATTTAATACAGTTGTAAATTTCAATTAAAAAAAAATATATTTTTAACATTAAAAGAGTATATAAAATCCAACAAATCAAGGTAATGAAATTGTTTAAAAAGCTATTTTGTTGTACCTGTGTGAAAGAAGAAGTAAAATATGGAAATATTTCAGTTTGGAAATGTATAATTTAAAGAATAAATATAAGTACATTTGAAATCATTAGATTTTTAATTTAATGAATGAATGAACCAAAATTGTACTCTTGCTCTAAGCTATGAAACATTTTAAGTTTAATTTTTAAAAATTTTGTTTATAGCTGAGTGACTGTTTTTCTCTTTGATTATAGCTGGGAAATATGTGACAGTTGTTGAGGATGGAGAGGAGACGGAGAAGATGCTTACTACAGTTGAGCAAGCTTTCCAGCGTATCATCAGATCACTTATTAAGTTATATAGTAACATACCAAAGTAAGTATTATTATTTTCATTATTTGTTATCTTCATTTATTTTATATTAATGTGGGTATTAACCTCCTCTTCTTTACAATATGGATCTTACCTCTTGCCGGTCGATTCCTAGGTAATTCTCATATGGATTCAGGAAGTAGTGTCATATGGGAAAATGGTAATTGTGGTGATTTATTTCATTTGAGTATTACCCTATCTTAGTTATCAGATTAAATATAATGGGTACTTTAAAAATGCATGGGAGATCCCCTGATCTCTTGTAATTTAAGCTCTATAACCAGATCATCAAGGTGTTCTTCAGTTATTTCAACTGTAGGAACAGTCATTGTTAAAAAATTCTGGTGCTTCAAAGTTTTTGAATTATTCAATTGATTTAAAAAAAAAATGTAATATCCCAGTGAAATAGTTCTTTGAAGAATAAGTATAGTTCATAATATAATATAATTGATGGATAAATTTATTTGTAAACTATATTTTGTTAATTATTTTTATTTAAAAATAACCAAATTTGTAACCTGGTGTTGGAGAATATGTGTTTTAGGAGAAAAAAAAGTTAACTTATATTCCTGAAGTTCTGTTTTTATTCTTTTGACAGGTCTAGTGCAGTTTCGGAGAAGTACAAAGAGGTTTATAGAATATTATTGAAGAAGGATAAAGATGTTCTATTGGCTGCACATTTTATTAAAGTCATTGATAAAATAACTACTGAAATCAAATGTTAATTTAGTCCATTTTGTTTTTAACTCAATTCTTTGTTGTAATCGCTATCTTTTACAATTTATTGTTGAACCAAAAGACTGTTTAAATAGTGAAATTAAGCTAGATATTTAAAATGTATATTTTTTATATATTTTTATAATATAAACATCAGTAATGTTTTATTGATGTTAATCGTTCATTTCATTTATTTTAAACTGATGTAAATATGTTGTTATGATTATAGTGTTATATATTACATTTAGAATATTAGTAGTTTATTTTATAGAGGCATTTCTGTTTAAACCTTCAATTGAAATTATGAAGGATATGAGTGAGCATTTTGTTTGTTGCTTAGATTTGACACAATATGTGTTGTATAATGACTGTTTTATTTATTTTTTCATATCATTTCATGGTTTTCATGTTTTGTAATGTTTTTTATTTGGTTGTTACTCGCGAATAAAAGTGGCCTACATGTCGAGGAAAAAGTTAATAAAACATTGTGATTATGAATACACATCAGTAATGTAGTATGTTTGTTGATTACTCTCATTTAAAAGCTTGAATTTTTGTTTTATTAGTTGACGGAATATGAGATTGTATTTTTCCTATCCTAAACATAATTGCAATGCAAATTATACTTATTTACTTTATCAGTTTTTCCCTTCCCAAAATTTTTAATTAAATGATGAATAACACAGTATAATGATTTTTATAATTTATTCTTATCTGATATCCACGGCTAATAATTAATACATGAAATTAAATCTACAATAAATCTTAATGTATAAAAACACATTCTTCTATAAACATCATACAAATTTTTTTTTTGCTTGTGAAAATTCTTGTATTGGATTTTTAAAAAAATACAATGCTTCCTTACCTTTGGTAGTGATGAAGCAAAATTAATTTTATTTAAATCAGTATATATGTGTTTGATTATTTTGGATTTATGAAATATCTTTGTTCTTGATTTGCCATGGGCCTTGGAACATGTTACATCACTTGGGTCCACTGACTTTTTTTCCTCATAAGATATATAAATGGACCTATTTATTCATATTTATTTGTTCCTTCTTTTATTTTATCGAACAAACATAAAATTTTATTCAATAAAATTAATTTTGGTTCTCGTATGAATATCTGGTTATTTATTTTCAGCAGCATCCTCATAAATCAGCTCTGCTTTGTCCGGTTTTCTTTCTTTGAAAATGGTTAAGAAATATTGTTTCTTTAGAAGTTTCTACAAATAATGAAAAGTCATTTATAATATGATAATTTTCTGATGGCTTAATAGGATGAATTTTTTTTTATTAAGATTGAAATTAAGACCATTCATACAGTTATAAATGAAGGTAATTTTTGTATTGAGTATTCCCAATGGAAATCGTGCTTTAACTTAACTAAAGGACAAATAGTAATGGAACATAAAAATCTAATGCTCTGGATAAATATTTTTTTGGCAGTGTAAAAGTTGAAGAAGAATTTCACACTATATCTTACAAGGCGTGTTGAGTGTCATGGAGTGTTGTTTTAATTGTAAATAATTTTCGATAATTTCCTGGTCTCCTGACACTAGACAAGTGAAAATATTTTACTTATATAAAAATATTTTTGTATTTATAAAAATTAAATAAAATAATTAATAAAATTTTACTATGCTAACAGTGGATACACTTCCATTTTACAAGTTATACAACTCAAATTGTATAACTGTAGTTCAGATTGTATTATTTTTTATCAACTTAAAATAAACAGAACTAACTACAGTTTGGACAATTTTTCAATTTTTTAAAAATATATATTACACATCACGTCTTATTGCCAATTTATAATATTATATACTTATAATTATTCTTATTGCCAATTTGAAACCATAATAAGGGAGAAATAATTCTGGAAACAAGAAGAGTGGTGTCTCCGTTACGGTCCGCCCTGCTTTGTACAATATATGTAAAATAAAAGATGATGCACTAACTAAAAATTTTTTTTTAAAATAAAGATTTATTTTTTTCAAAAATAAAATAAATCAGTGAAAAGTTCTATTACTAAGCCCCAGACTTTTATATTTTAACCCATAGGCGCAGGCTTTTCATTTTGGTTTGGGGGAGGGGGTGGTATCCCCCACTTAAAAAAATGTCGGGTTTATAAAAATTATGAATGATAGTTAATATAAGCAACATAATTGTTGTAAAACGAACAATACAATACAATATACAAAAATGAATTTATATATGTTTATATAGATATTGTTTTAATAATGTCATCAAAATATCATCAGGGCTAGAATTAAATCAGAAATAAAAGAGCTGCAGATATTTGTGAAGTATTTGATTTCCCAACTGTTTATAATCTACCATCATAAACCCTGTATAATCATAAATCTTGTAGGAATAAATTCTTAAATTGTAACACTTTTTCTAAGGAATGCTTCATGTACCTACCTACAATCATCAACATTAACCTGGTGTCTACAAAGAACTACGCACCTTCAACATTACTTAGAGGACTTACTTGGCAGATAGATGCAAAATTAAAAAGACTTGATGATATAATCAACTCACATCTTCTGAATTATAGACCCTCACTTAACCTATGAAACAAGTGACTAATCTACAACTCTATATTGAGACCAATTCAATAAACAAAATATAAACAATACAATCCAAAATTCTTCAAAAAACTTTTAACACACCATGGTATATTTCAAATCACACTATTCACTACTTAAAACATTTCAACACCAAAATCCTACACCCATGACAAATATTAGTTTTCTCATGATTTAATAAAAAGCTTTCTGTTTCTTTTGATTTTGAATTATATAGTATGTTTCTTAATGTTTTCTATTGCAAAACGAAAGCATAAAATATTCTTGTTCAACTCCTTCTTAACTCCTAACGATTTTCTCAGTTTTTTAATGATTAGGAAGTTAAATGTTAAAACTTAATTTTTTTTTATAGGTTGGCAATGAAAATCTTACTCTAATCTATTTAAACCCCATCACTTTAGCCTCCCAGCCACAGGTGGATCTATGGGGGAGGGAGAGCTTTCGGGCTGAAGCCCTCCCAAAATGATAGTAAAATATAACCATGTTTTATAGAAAAAAATATTAAAAACTATCTCTTAAAGTATTATTGTTTGTGTAATTACATTTAATAGGACTTCAAGAATCACTTAAACACCATGTCATGTGGGTAGTTAGTTTCTTTCTTTTTTTTTTCAAATTAATTATCATTATATATGTGAATAAAAGCTTTGGACTGATGAAGCCTCCCAAAAATTAAAACCTGGATCCACTAGTGCTGAGAGCTCCATATACAAAGAGATTTGAAAGTGCATAGATATCTTTAAACTATAAATAGGTAATGGTTGTATTGTGTAGTAGAAACTATAGAAAATAAATATGTATCCTTTTTCTTTATTTTTTAAATATTTACTTTTCTACATATTCCATCCAAAAATAACAAAAAAATATAGTTATGAAATTTGTATTGAAAAACATCTATATGATAAAGTTTATGTAATTTTCTTGGTTTTGATGAGCTTTGGTATTGATAAATATGACCATGATTCGAAGATGTGTTTTGTAAGATTTTAGCCCCATTAAAAATGCAATTTAAAGACTTATTCCAATAGTCCAATTTTGTCAGAAAATAATTTCTATTGAAAGTGGAGTGCTAAGTTAAAGTGTGATGCATGCATTTGATTTTGCTTTCTCATTACTGAAGGTAGGAAAGCATTGTATTCATGCGAGAAGTTAAAAAAAAATTATGTGCTTATAATCGAAAATTAAGAAGGATGAATTAACCCGAAGAGTTCAGACCGTTAAACAACGCCGAATTGCGTGTACTGTATCCGGGTAATATAATTGAGGTGATTTCATCCCGGCGAATCAAATGGGCATGTAAAATTGATGGGATTAGTAACGAGAGAATTAATAAAAGGTTAATATTTGCTGTACCGAATGGTAAACGTCCGAGAAGTAGACCGAAGCGAAGGTAGGAAAATAGCATTAAAGCCGATCTGAAGGGACTAGGTTTGGACGGCGAACGGTGGAGGGAGGTGTGTAATAAGCAATTGGTGGTGTCGGCATCGAACCTTCGGGTTCTCTAAGCCTTTTATTATTATTTTAATCGAAAATTTCCACTCCATTTTTACCTTTCAGACATCAAGGATCAAATTTGGTTCGGTGTCTGTCTGTAGTGAAATCGATGTGATGGGTATATCACCTACTACCGTTCATCCGATTTTCATAAAATTTTCAAGAGTTGTGTGGGTTGGTGCCTAGATGGTTCATATCAATTTTACCAAATTCCATCCAGCACTTCCGCTTATGAACGCGCAAACGTTTTTTTTTTTTAGATATAGCAATATTTCAGAAACAGCTCGTTCGATTTGGGTCAAAGTTGGAAAAGGTAGATGTTGGTGAAAAAATAATGTAGTGTCAATTTTATTGAATTCTGTACACTACTTTATCTTAAATATGCGCAAACGTGTTTTCCTTGATACGTCTATATCTCTAAAAACGCCCGTTCGATTTGGCTCAAATTTGGAGGGAAATTAGGGATAGGTAAACAGATAATCAAGTGTATATGAATTTTATGAAATTCAGTTACTACTCCAAAAAAAAAAAAAAAAAAAACATCCGCTTTCAGATCAGGAAATTTATTATTTGACATGCCTATAGTTTGAAAACTGCGCGTTCCATTTGAGCCAAACTTGGAGAAAATTTGGAGAATAGTATAGAAATTACCTGGAATTTCATTTAATCCCATTTAATAATTAAAATTAATATAAATGATTGTTAACAATATAATCACTCTGAAATGTGGAAGGCATTGATCATATGGAGTAGAGTTAGCTTAAGACAATATTTTTATGGGGTTATACAATTTTAGCTTTTATTCAAAAAGTTAATTTATACTATATTTTTTAGTCGATTCCAAACGTTACTGGCATGACACTGCCGTTACTTATATTTCGTGTAATTTTCAGTCAATTTAAATTAATTTTTACTCTGAGTTTTTATATAAAAAAAAGACTTATTTGTGCTTGTGTTTATTTCTATGGAAGTTCAACTAGTTCGTCGTGGTTTCGATTTCATCATTAAAAATCAAAGTTGTGGGAACTTCACATGTATTTTCCTATTAAGTATATATCACTACTATTAGTGCCAAAGATCATATGTAAATAATTTAAACTTTCATTCTAATTGTGCTGAAGATGACATTTTGTAGTCTGCAACTGATATAAGCAGTCTGCTGCGATGGAAAATAGCAGAGAGCAATACAGTATGAAATTATATTTATAAATCATAAAAAAAATTATATCTTATGCTCTCCTGTAAAACATTCCATTTTTACATACTGTCTTTTGCACTAACAGTAGTGATATTAATGTTCAATATGCACTGGAATTTTTTAAAAATCATGAATTATCAAATATGCAATCTGCAAATGCAGAACACTTTCACATTTTAGTACTCAATGCACAAAACTTGTGAATATTAAATCCACAAGTATATGCTGAGGGATTACTGAATTTCCGAAAACGGCTTCTCACAGAGATTTTATTCTCATACGAAAAATGTTGGCCCTTGTAATATAGATATTTTCTAGCCAATGAAAACGGTGAGGAAGCTATACTGACCTTACTTGCCAGACATTTTTTTATTATTTAAATAGCTCCCCAAACATGAAAAAAAACTATAGACCGTTTTTGTGTATATTCCCATTGTTGAGTTTAATGGACACATATTTGATCAATTGAAGTATGAATTTTTAAAAATATCAATTGGATTAGACCATTTGATATCACCCAGACCATGTTGCTTCACATATATAATTTTTAATTGAAGAGAAGATTGGTTGGGATGATAAAAAAAAAATTAAAAATAAATAAGTATATTTATTTATTTTTTGACTGATCACGGCAACCAATCTTCTCTTCAATTATTCACTACGGTCAACCATCAATCCACAATTATTTAATTTTTATATTTGTACCAGTTGTTTCCTATTTAGCGGTGAGCAAAACTATGATTAAAATTTTTTGAAGGATCACACATTTTTCTGTGTAGTCATTTTTCATTTGCTTTTCGACTGAAAACGTGTTTTGAAAAAATATTTTAAGCTGAAGTCATTTTGTATTTCTCAAACTAAATTAACTATGATGATTTTCCGTACATTTT